AATTGAGGTAGCAATATCAAGAGTCAAAGAAATAAATACAAATTTAAAAAGACAGCAGTTACCACCTGTTTTTAGTTTGTGCCCAGTTTCATGAAAGAATACCTAGTGCTCTTTTGGAATATGGTCCTGAGAAATACAACACTATGAACAGAGTCAAAATCAAACTTGCAACTTTGGAAACAGGAAACAAATTCATTTTCTTAAAATTGCTAAACAGCAAAAGTCCCACTTCAGCCCTTGGTTAATACATGTACCCGGTTTGGGTGAATTGTCTCCATTGAAATCAAGAAAAACAAAAATGCCCCAAAATCTGAAATTTGAAAAAGGCACCACTTTGGGATCTATTTGATATATGTGCCTAGTTTTCTTGAAAGATAGTGAAGTTCACCCCTCCCTTTAGAGACTAAATACAAATCATTTCCATGGAAATCGAGAAAAATATAAATGTCAAAAACCTGCAAATAGCAAAAGGCACCGCTTTAGGTTCTGTTTGATACATCTACTAATTTTTGTTGAAAAATAATCAGTTTTTTTTAGTTATACTCTGGAAACAAAATGCTTACAGACGGACAGACAGACAAGGCATTGACTATATCCCTCTGCATTATATACTGGGGGGATAACAATGGTCAAAACAAAGTGAGTACCTGTTCTTCACAATCGTCTATCACTACAAAATTGTATTTCATATCATTGGTTATTTGATTATTCTACAAGTTGAACATTTATCATAAAGTACCTGCTGAGAGAAGGAAGCGTAAGTGTCAAAGTCAACCACTGCAATATCCTGTGCAGGAAACCCATCCTTGTTGGTTCACCACAATTATGTTTCATGATTGGTGGCATCGAAGCTGTGCCCATAGATTTCACCAAAATGGTAAACATGTGACACCCCCATCACTTTGAGCTTGGCTCCTACTTTAAGCTGACACGCTAGGATATAACTTGACTACTGTTTACAGTGGTATTAAACCCAACTCACACCTGAGAGAAAAAGCCTTCCAACCAATGGATCATTTGTTCATGAGTCTGGACAAAATGAGCCATGGGATACTTAGTGTCATGGAAAGATGGCAGCCACCAAGTCTGACCACAATCAATCAGTGCCTCTTACAGAAACTAAACCAGCTGGGTATTTGTGTAAAATATGCAAAATATGTCACCATCATAAAATAATTTTGTTCTCAGGGTAAAAATTCTGGATTTTTTTTCAAAATGAACAAATTGACATTTGCATCAAAAATATAAAAACTTACATCAATATCAGTCTGTACCATAAACATTTGAGTCTACCTGGCTGAACTCACTGTTATTTTACTTTCTCTATATGGGCTAACATTAACAGATTGTAACACCTGTACTAGGAAGAAAGACATATTACTCAAGCTTTGGGCAAGAGGCTAAAATAACTGTCTGCAGTATCAATGATATGTGAGTAACTTCTCAAAAATTTGTATTCTTTTAAAACTAACTCAATTGTCAATATTATCTGAACAAAACATTAACAGGATGCACTGCTAAAATGTAGTGAATGATAATTGTCATAATTGGTTTTAAAAATTGTATTATTTAGTAGGAAAAGGAATATGATTCCTTTTTGACATCTTTTATCATGTTAGAATTAAGTTAAAATTGAAGTCATTAAAAATTATGTCATGTAGGTTTTAGAACTCTCAGGCTTGCTGTACAAATAAAGCATAATCATTGGAAATGGTAAGTTAAAGTCAACCTTCTCTTACATACTTTGTGAAATGATCTGTGATCAAAGAAAATGATAGGGAAAGAAATTGATCTGTCAGTGCCAAGTGGTTCAGTTAGTTAATGCACAGTCAAAGACAAAGGCACCATGAATTACAATGTATATGATGTTATCGTGGAAGATTTATGGTTGGTCAATGGGGCTAGCCACAATGTGATGCCATTAGATTTATCACCTTTAACATACTCTTTTAGTTTCTGCATCTTGACTATGGATTATTTGTATTTGATGAAATCAAAAGCATTAAAGATTTATGTAACAAGTCTAGTCAGTTCTTTTCCTGGAAATTACTGAAATATTTGTATTTAATGAAACCCAATCAAATATGGATTATAAAAAAGGTAAGTCAAGACAGCTCTATTCCTGCACTATAGCTATGGGATATTTGTATTTCAAGGAAAAAAATCCAATCTAGTGTATAAATATGCAAGACTTAACAGCTCTGTTCCGCATGGGAAAAAATGATTTTTTAAAAAAAAAGAAATGTATAAGAAAGATTTCCTGAACTGTATGGAATCAGGAAAACATACACTGTTCTGTCTCAGCTCTCAGCAGGTTCAGGGAGAACAAAGTGTGTGTATAATGACTGTATGATCCATAGAACATCAAGAGGGCTTAGAATGTTCCAGCAAAAGCAGACTCTAGCAGTTTGCAGTGTAATGAGATGAAGACCTCATATATCAAGAGGCCACATTGAGCTTTGATATGTGTGATAGATGTTAAACACGACAGTTAAGGATTTGTGTTGAAAAATAACCTGTCGAGAATATGTTATTAATAAGTTATGTTCATATGTTTAATAACAAGTGTGAATCATTGTTGCAATTCTTTTTTTAATGAAATGGGTCTTGTTGGCAAATTATGGTAAAAACCCTGTGACAAGATAAATGACACCTCCTCACAAAGTGTTGAAATATTGTAGGTGTTTTTACTCCCTTTGCACAGTCTGTATCGAAATAATACTCTACAGTGATAGTTTTTTATTGAACGTATTGACACTGTTTCAAATTATTTTTATTTCGCCTGTTTCATTGTCTTTTTAGTTTTGTATGGAGCCTTATATGCTTAAAAATACTTAATCAGGCTTTTGTTTTGGAAACAGACAAAGTCAAATGTTTAAATTGCAAGTTTGTTCATTTTGCTGAATAAAAATTAGAGGTCACCTTACTCTTGAGTCACATGTTTAAGATTCTGGATCTTGACACAAACCCTAACCAGTAACATCCCCATTATGACTGTTTGAAAAGGAAGGAGGGTCTTTCTTGTCCTTATTATGTTTGTGTTTGTTTAAGTAGACTGTGTGAAGTATTAGTCATGGGGCTATATTATTTGGAAAATGGAGGAAAATACAGTACACAGATGTTTCAGAAATATGAATGTTAGGTTTGTTTTGAATTATGGAAACTTCTGGAAAATCATCTTTTGTTATTCAGACTGCTATTGACTAACAGTCCTATTTCATGTCAAGGAGTTTTTAGTTAAGCTTTGGCAGCAAACCTAACCATCAGAACAAAAATCACAAATCATTAATTTAGAAAGTCTATAAACAGTGAAAGGCATCATGCTGGAGTAACCTGATTAGTGTGCATGCAATGTTAAACTTTCAGTGAAGACCTTTCGTCCAATTCTGAAATTTTCTGGTGTTTTTTTAGATTTATTCACTTATCATCAATTATACTCTCTTAACATAATGTTTCGACAATAGAAACTAACACCATACGTGATTGATGGAAATATTGATTCGTAAAATACTGAGTGACAAAGAAATATTCAGTAGGGAAAAGAACAAAAACTGTGCTTTGATTTTGTGTCAAGCTCTGGGAACAAATTATTACAGTTGAATGAAAGAAAAGATGGAACTGATGACAGAATATCTTCCAAAAGTTGACACAGTCGGCATGACAATTTATACAGACTCGTGCCATATATATTCGGACACTTGACATGATTTCCATAGTCTTACATGTTATTTCAGTGTAGCATAAATAATTTTCATGAAGTGAGTTTAGGATAGATCTTTGTAAAATTTGACAGGCAAATTTGAAATCATCTCTGTTCTGCGCACATAATTTCAGTTCAATTTTCCGACCACTATTTAACTAATGACATCACATTTATCAACTTACATATAGTTCCACAATGCACAATCCCATATGCCGCCATGTTAAAGGAGTTCACGGCACTGTACATATGTTGATTAAATTGTTGCCATTCGATAAATAAGCAACAGAAAATTAAACAGAAATTATGTGATTGTAGGTAAGATGATTCCTCACAAATGTGCAAAATTTGACTTGGATCAAAGAAAATTAAATTCTTAAAAATTATTTATGCTACGCTAAATTAACATGTAAGTCTATGGATGTTACGTCAATTGTCCGAATATAACTGGCACGGGTCTCTAGTTCAGTCCACATTAGGTTGGATACTCTGTTTCTTATATTTTGTTTAAGGGCCAGTATGTAAGGAATTTTAACATTATTATACACTGGAAGCATAGAAATTGACTAAAGTCAAATGGTTTTATTCCACATTGAGAAAAAGTGTTGAACAGCTAATCATACGTTTGTAGATCTATACGTTTGGACTTTTAAAGAATGGTTAATTTTCCTATGTGTTAACTGTACAATTTATTCCATACCTGTTTCATCCTGCTATGCATATGGTAAATGGGAGACAAAATAATAATCTTGCAGAAAAAAAGGTTGACAGTAAGAGAATATAAGTCAATACACTCCCAGGGGTTCCTTGGGGAATAAAAGAAATGTTCATCTAACATATTATCTTTGCAGTGAGAACAGTGTTATAACTGAAACCAAAACTGACAACACACAGACACTGGACTCATCTTAGATTGGAATTTCAATTTACTGTTTCTGAGTTCAATTAGATTGTATTTGAGAAACAAACCTGCAACACAGGAAAGGAATGTGACATTTCCATCATGTCTATCCATCATAAACTGTTTCCTTGTGTTTAATTATACCATACCATTTTTATATCATCAGCAGAAACTGAGTTCACGAACAAAATCATGTAATTAATCACTTTGCATGCTCAATAATAGTTAATACTGGAGATGAATTCTGTCATCGGTTAGAGACAATTGGTCTAAATATGTATGACTCAATATTAGGTCTTTAGCACATGGGACCGAACGAGTAGTACATGCACGATATGTGGTGAACTTTGAGGCATAAATATCAAAGAGTGACAAACAAAATGGAATAAACAATCTTACCCAAAATATGACATTGAAAGTAAACATCAAATACTTGATGCATTTGCTGACTTCTGTTTTGTCCCTCCGTCTGCTCCGTCCTGATGTTTTTCGCGGCATTTTGCACCTTTTCCTACTGGAGACCACGCTCAGAATACATCCATGTTATACTATATACATCCTACACTCAAACCAACACGCTGTTGTGGCATGATCTGTCACATTTTCATATATACTGGCCTAATATGAAACGACAAGTCCTGTCACCAACCTTTCACCTCCCTGCTTTTTGTTGTCTTTTAATCACCAGTCTATTAACCTGACAACTGTTCTTAGATAAATGTTAATGGAGAAAGGGCTTCTGTCGACCAACATACACATGGCTGGAGGCGCGATGGAAATGCATGTACGTATTACAGTTTACTTTATTTCTTTACTAGAAACATTTAGATATGTTATTTCCACTGTTGCAATTATCATAAATAATTTGAGTGTCTAAACTATGTTGTGTTTCTGAATAAAATGAACATTTTGTACATTGCAATATTAGGCAGTTACTAAAAGGGAGGATTGGCGGAATAATCATGCTTAATCACATGAGTTCACACCAGTAAATGCCAAAGTCTTTCACAACTAATTAACAACTCACTCACGGACAGCCAAGTTAGTGTGTAGTGATGATCAGCTGATTGGATAACAAGATCGCAATCGCTTGATCATAGCAATTTGCATGAAGGGTTTAAGGATTATTGGAAGCTTGCCACTGAACCATTGGAGAACCGCGCAGAATTAATGGATACAAGTATTTATCCTTCACAGTCTATAATCAAGGTCCAAACCTATATCCCTACTCTTAGAAGACATTACTCAGAATTAATACTTGAATGTTTAGTCCATGCCTTTGGGTCTAATTATATTTGTACCGTTGATTGTGTGCACGCATGTGATAGCGTCGTGTCTTACAACATATTATGCCATCCAGTGAACAGTGTAAATTTACATGTATAGATTAAAATCGAACGTATGAAACAGAATACACAGTGCACGTAAAACTATCATCAGATGCAAATTGTGATATGTTTGAATTGGCTTATTATCGCTGGATATAGACCTACAACATCAAATATTAAATTAAATATTAATATGTTATATTTTCCCGACTTATCTTCATCAAATAATAAATCGTTGTTACATACTATCCTCTCAAAGTTGTTCTACATTTCATCGTAGAAACTGAAACTGATGCTGACATCAACACCCAATGTATTCAAGCAGACTAAGGAGCTGGGAATAAACGATCGTAGTTGTCATTGAAAATGATGAGCCATAAGACATTTTTTTCCTGTTCTTCACACTCACTGAAGTTAATAATAGAACATGTAGAAAAGGTAATGTCTATGGCAAGATTGTGTATGTTTGTACTACACAAATAATCCATTGATGACTTGATCGCACCTGTATATATAACTTACAATTATTGACAAGACCACTGACTTGGTTATGTCTGTAGTATATAAACCTGTTCAGTTGTAACAAACCTGGTACTGTTCAGTATTTCTGAAAGTACACTTATGTTTTATTTGGGTATTGATCACTTCTCGCCTGCAGCCTTCAATGTCCAGTGCTCAAGGCATACATGTACTGTACTTGATTTGAAGTCATAAGTATGATTTAGGGAAATAGTATTTTATTGAAATTTGTTGTACCGTAAGAATATCCAATTATTATAAAGTGAAATATGTTATCAAATGGAATTGCTATGCATTTTATTCTCATATCTGGGGAAGCATCTGAAAAATAACCTATACTTTTACACCCACAAATACTTTTGTCTACATAGATGACGTCACACAGCAATATGGCAGCTTCCGACAAAACATCAACAAGTGGCACTGCTGCAACTGGACCTCTCGAAAGATTACGTAGAGTGTCAAAAGAGGATGTATGCTTCAAGATATTGCCAGCACTCGGGGGAGTGAGTTACCAACTGTTTTCAGCGCACATCATGAATCCAAACTGTTTTCGGGAGTAAGTGATTTTGTGTCATTTGAGAAGGGCACCGGCTCGTATATCAGGGGAGATAACTTCCTTGATGATTTGTGAACTGCCGGCTCTTGTCATAATTATGAGAAATTTACATATGATAAATACATTACAAGATTATCCTTCTTCTAATGGTATATCTGAAATATGCTCTTGATTTATAATTCTTCTATGTGAAAGTCATGATGGTAGTGGTACAATTTACTGGAAAGGGAAAAGTTGTTATAAGTATCTGTCAGTGACCTATAGTAAATCTCTGTGAGCTATGTCCAGATCATCTTGCACGAATGCAAGTACTCTTTCAGCGTTTTGCCAAACAAATTATTGTAGTGTAAGAATATACATAAAATGAATCAAACAGAGGACATACATGTTCTAATATTGTTTTGTACTCCACCATTTAAAGAGATGCAAGCAGAGTTATTAATGAATTTTACGTTTTGTTTTCAGTCTCTTTGATGACCATCATGTTGTTGTAGCCAACAGCTTGTGGTTCCAGTCCCACATTGGAGTGGGCTTGTACATGTTTGGAAGCAAACATCTCCAACAGGTGTCTGTTCAAAGAAGAATTCTCTACAGTGTGTTTGGTTCATTTCTCTTCAACTTTGGATCTGTTTTGTTTTGGGCAACATGTAAAAGTCTGCTGTTCCCACAACCTGTTGTAAGGACCATATTTGGTCTTGGATCAGGATTTGTTCTGTTATTTATTGGCAGAGAATATGTTGAATACATTGATGCCAGATTATCCAAAGCTTCTTAACTTAGTACGATGAACTACCTCTGTGCTCTAGTCGAAATAATGAGTGCCAGTTGAGTGTTGTGTTGATAGCTAGAAATGATCGGTGATTGAGGATGAGGGTTTGTGTGGATTGCGTTACATGTTCTTCATGTGACATGCTGTTACATGTTTTACAACAGCAGTTTTTGATATTTGCAATTTGCAATAACCAGTTTGCTAGTGTTTATCATTATCAGTGCAGTACCCAATATTTACAAGGGGTTGAAGGGATATTGTTTGCTTGAAATTTGCTGTACTTATGTTTTAGTCTGCAAACACATTTCTTTATTTTTTTAAGTTACTTGTTTACTTGTTGAATGTGCCTTCATATTTTATGTAGAAGTGCTCTGAGTCTGATGCATGGGATATATACCTTTGAGAGTATGTACAAATTAGCAAATCACCACACTTTTATGTGTAGATATCATATATAGATATTTCTGATGCTTGCATCATTTATGTTGCCTTTAGAACAATTCACCTGGAAAATAATTATGAACTGCTAACTATATTATGTTTCCATTTCCATAAAATAACCATTTAAAAAATAGATCATGAATGTATTTTCTGATGAAAAACATTGTTTACAAGAGACAAAGTCATATTCAAATGTAGAACCAAAACTGATTAGTGGTATGCAATGACATAGTATTTAAGTATTCCATGCCACTATTTCAGTGTTCCATGCCACTACTTAAGTATTTCATGGCACTATTTATTTGACTGCCCTTTTGGCTGCCTCCCCTGCTGTATACATGATGTGACTGACTGACTGAGTTTGGTTTTACGCCGCTTTTAGCAATATTCCAGCAATATCACGGCGGGGGACACCACAAATGGGCTTCACTCATTGTACCCATGTGGGGATTCGAACCCGGGTCTTCGGCGTGACGAGCAAACGCTTTAACCACTAGACTACCCCACTGCCCCATACATGATGTGACCAAGTACTCAGGACCATCTGGAGGAATATACAGCAGTCTCCTCGTTCCAGTTTTCCATCATTTATCATTTATGAAAAGAGGTCTGTGTCATGGATATTTGCAAGGGACACTTGGAAATTTTTAAAAGAAATATTTAGTGGTATATATTGCATAACCTTTTTTTAAGGTGTGTATCTGTGGTAAATTATGTGAATTTGACATGTTCGTCATGTTTTATTGGAAGGAGAAACTGCAGCATGAAACCAGACCAATTTTATTCCTTGTTTTACAGATCTGCCGGTCGTATTTTTTTCAAGAATAAGAAAAAAACCAATTTCCCTGCTCGAAAAATAAAATCCTAATGTTAAGATACACGGAAGCAAGACTTCGACTACGCAAAGCAGTTTGTTGGACACTAAAACACCAGTATCTGTTCTCAGTAACTTTAAACTGAATTATCTAACAATATTTGTGTTAGAAATCAGTCCTTCGAGAGCCTCAGAGAGTGTTAACTTGAAAAACAATGCCTTTGAAAAACTCATGTGGGTTTTCGCTTTGACTGGTGATTTTTTATTTATTTTTTCCCCTCCTGCATTTAGGTTTTCTGAGGACAAAAATCCGTAAAACAATGAATAAAATTGGTCTGGCCTTAGAAAATAACATAAGTTTGTGTTTATGTAATTTAGTGCACAAGCCTGTATGGCTGAAACATTTGTTCATATCCGGGACAAGATTTTCTGGACTGATTTTCTTTGGTAGTTATTTGTGATTCATCACTATTTGAAATGATTACATATGCAAGAATTGAGAAAATGAAACAGCTGCTCTTTATCATGTTTTTCTGTTTCGTTTCATGAAAAATATAATTCATTTATCGCAAGAAGCATCCTCTTTTATCCAATGTATTATAACAGATGTTATGTTATGATGAATACCCATTAGCTGCCATATGTACCATTTAGAAGTGACCTCACAGCACATGCTGCCTTATCTCTAACTTTGCACAGTATTTATGTTGCACCTGAGCATAATATCAATGACAAATCAAAATGTCTCTTCTGACAATATCGGGAATACGGCATATATCTTTGTTCAAACTCATCACCTTATTCCAACTATCACTCCACAAATTTAATAGAATCAGAAGACTGTTCTAATGACAAATGTTACAGCTTGGAAATGTTTCCTCCTTAGTAATAAGATGGAGAAAGAAGCCATTTAATTTCAGCATGTTCAAACTGTATTTGTGATAGCACATTGAAGTTGAGTCAGGTATTGGAGATATCACAACTTCTCCCTGTCACAAACATAAACACTGATGCATTTTGATTGGATGTCTATTTTTAGTGTAGTGTCATATGAACAGCATTCAAACCAATGGTCTGATGGTTCCAGGGAATTTATCATGACATACACATAATGCACTGGATATACCAGGATGGCCAGTAGGAAATCCAAGTCCTTGAGTCTAGTAGGGTGATTGGGTTAGTTTCAGACACTGATTAAGATGGAGCTCTTGAACAAAACTGCTTTAAAGATTTAACTTATTAAGTTTGAATGTACACATTTGTAGATTATGCAGTATTTCTGATTAATGATTTTGTTGTCTAAAGATTTTATCCTAACGCTGCCTTCAGTGCTTGAATGTGGTGAGAAGAGATGGTTTATAGTCAAACCATATTTTCTCAGTGATATTTTCAGTATTGCCCATCTATATTCAAACACTACACTGCTGGGGGCACCACAGTGGCATTAAGAACAAAAATATCCTCAGAGCACCTGTTTCATGTGGTTATCATTCCTGTTGTCTGTGTTGCTGCCACAACCAACACGCTATAGTTAATTGCACAATCTTCCACAAATAAAGATAAAAGTTACTAGAGTAACTCTGAGATGTGTGATAAAACTGAACATTCACTCATGTATTTGAAATATGTCTGTTGTAACAAAAGGGCATTTGTATTGTTAGTGTTAAAAGTTCTATTTTCCAAAGACCGCAGTGCCAAAAAGGAGGAATGAAGTTAATTCAGCAACCAGAAATTGCATCTGAAGCCAAAATTCGTTTTGGAAGTCGACTTAGACAGTATGTGATGTAATTGGTGCAATTTGTTCAAACAGAACAAAACTCAGCAAATGATCTCTATTTTTGTGACATTTTCCAGATTTTGGATTAAGCTATGGTCAAGGGGCAATCTGGGCAAACAAAATCAGTGAACATTCCACGTAGCAAATCCAGATAAAGAAAAATGAATTGGCTATTTAATATCAGGGGTTTAGGCTGGTGATTTGTTTAAAATCAAAAATGTTTTTGAGGAAATGTGTCTTTAAGACCCTCCAATCCAACCAACTTCTCTTTTCTGTTTGTAAGTTATTTCTTATCAGTAAAATGATGCAATAACATTATCAATATTTTAATAGTCAGTAAGTACTGTATTAATGATCATGAACTGTTAATGATCAAAGCCTACAACATAAAATAAATGTGTCCCTGTCCCTGATCTTGTGGTCAGTCATGAATTAATGGAACAAAGCTTAATTTGAGGTGCTGTGTAACCAGACTGTATTGAAACATGTCAGTTACTATCAGTTGTTGCGAGGTCTGTTATTTGGAAGATATAGATTCATGATATGTTTCAGAACACATACAGTATTGAACATATTAGGCACTGTCAACTGATCAAAGCATAATATTGTTTGTTACGTTTACAGCGAATATTGGCTGTTCATATTTACACATTCTTCATATTCCTCTGTCAAAGTATATGCAGATTTACAATGAAAACCACTTGTGTTTGTCTATTTTCTTGCTTGTATCAGCTTGACAATGTAAGTCTATATCATTTTGTTGATTTTATGGAGTTTTAGCTTACATATATATACAGTGTTATACACCTAGATAGTTTGAATACTTATTAGTCTATTCCGAGAATAAATGTTTACTCTGTATTTTGTTACATTATGCTATGTTCTTGACTATTTGTTCAATCAAGTCTTTTTTTCCTAATATCAAGTTTAGAAAGGGCTCAAATGTTACATGTTATATTTGGGATTACACTTTCTCAGTGAAGTACAGATTCCAGTACTTTTATAAGGTCATGTGGAGCACAGTGGTGTAGTGGCTAGCATGCTGGCCTCTCACGCCAAAGGCCCGGGTTCGAATCCCAGTGGAGGCAACAAACATTTGTGACCTAGGTCTCATACTGTGTTGTGCCCCTGGGCAAGGCACTTCGCCTACATGAGAAGTGGATGTACGGACATATACGGTCGCACAAAGCGTTTAGTAGCGGCTTTGAAAGTACAATTCCATCAGGGTAATAATGTAACGCCAGAGAACAGCATGGTGTTGGATCCCAGGCACAAAAATTATTATTATTATAATTATGGCCCATTCGGAATTCCATCCCACACTCTCTGAGTCATTCACCTAATTGCCAGTACACAGAGTCAGAGATCTAACCCACTCAGCCACATATTGAGGTAGCAGTGGCTGTACTTTACTGAGAATGTGTAATCCCAAATATGACATGTTACATCAAGTTGTGAGTTTCAGTTTTAGGGTGCAGTTTTTTATCTTATACTACATGCACCAGTTGTTATGTGCACTATGACTCACTTCATATTGACCAGTCAAGAGATAACTTATGTAACCAATTCAGTGCCAAATAGATAATCAATGTTCCACAACATGAGCTCACTTGACCTTCAATCAGGTGAGTTTAAATTGAAATTGGATATGCAATTCCATAAAACTTGGTCAGCAAGTTTTACCAACACTGTAAGCGCTTTGTGTGTCTCCGGTAAAACAAACTTTCTTCAGAGCTTGAGGATGACCTTGGCAGGATGGGTCAATATGTAGAAAATATACCCAGGGTTATGACATACCAGATATATCACTGTACTGAAGAATTGATTTAATAAATAGAGTGCGGCTGCAGCAATGCCAACATTCAAATTCAGGTAAAGCTTTAAAGATCTGCCTTAACATGGAGATGCTGAATCACGATTTACAAAATGGAGTATTTCCAAGAGGCAAGTTTGTTTACCACTGCTTTGAACTAGGGGTGAAACGGTATACCGCGGTATTAGAATGGCGGTATTTTGCCTTTGGTTCGATATACCATAATGCAATCCAAAAATTCGGTAGTTTCGGTTTTCATACCGTCATTTTATTAACCTTTTCAAACCTTTTCTAAAATGTCTGTTCTTCTATCTAGTCATGAAATGACTTATTTTGAATGAACAAAACTAAGATTATGGTTATATTTTTCCATGTTATTAACAATGAAAGGTTTGACTCTTGTTGTCAATTTACTGCATTATGATCATATCTCATATACCAAACTGAACTGAATTCCTTGTACCGCAATTTGTACCGTAATGTGGTAAGAGCATTCGGTTTCACCCCTACTTTGAACAGGTTTCAGTCATGTCTCCGTGTGTCAACTTGCCGAAAGTGTTTCAGGTCTCGGACAAACCTACTAACAAAATCAAGCTGAACCTGGTTCCAGCTCACAATCCAAGGTCTCTGGTGTGCCTATGACAGGCAACTCCTCCAACAAATTTACATCATCCTGGACAACTGGGCCATCCATGCCTGCTGCATGAGGAAATATATCAGATACAGTAACAACAAAATACGTATTTAAGATTGCAGAGTTTAACACTTTAATACCACTCCATATAATAGCATAGGTAGGAATATACAGTAATGTTAACATTAGCAACTACAAGCTAAGATGGTGCAGCAATCCTAACATTTTCCCCAGCACTCTCTGCTGAATGCACTTCCCACTGGCAGTATAAAGGGACTACTCTCTAAGATCTATAGATGATATTGGGCTAAGTAGTGCTATCAGTATACTGTAACAATCAACAGCTTACCCTGTCTCAATAATTATTGCCACACAACATGAAATTTTTATCAACAAATTCAGATATGCATCAACTGAAAGTCTATTTCAAAACAATATACTGAATTTTCAATGTTTTCAGATTTGAATGAATGATCAATTCCAAACCATGGCTATAAAACCGAGACAAAGGTGAATATGATGTCATTTACTTCTTTACACTAGCAAATGCTGTCTATGTCCTTACATACTGACCAGTATATAGGGACTTGTACCCAACAGAGGAGCCAGGAAAATGGCCGCCACACCTAAAAGCAAATTTGAAAGGTTATATGTATATATAACGTTAAAACAAACCCAAACCATTAGTGTTCTCTTTATAATGTAGGTCAAGACCACGGACGGTGAATATCGTCGGATCTGGTTTGCCACAGGTTCAACACTCTTAAACCCAACAGTAAAACACACACACCACTCCGGAATGATTCCTGTAAACCTCTCAGCCAATCAAATATGTATGTGACCAAAATCGAGCCAATCAACAGCAAGGGAATATTTGACTGTCATTAATATTACTCTTATAATACATTCAAGAAATGACACTCAACTTTCCACTGTAACTGCTGAAGGCCCTGAGTTTGACAGTTCGCATACTGATAGGCCATATCTTGAGCATTAATAATGTGCCTGTCTTCTATTTCAAATGATGGACCCTCATAAGGGCTTATCCAATTCAACCTCTCTTTTCTATGCTGACAACCTCCAGTTTCCATAGTGACCAGCATCAGTTGCCAGGGGTTACATAAGGTGGTGATTTGTGATGTATATATGGATGATGAGAGGCAATTAGTCCGTCTCCAGCTAGTCCCTCAAACTTTTCTTATTGCTAAATTGAATTTATTAATCTAACTTTGCAAGTGACAGACACAACATGATTATAAAATGTGTATTCTGCCCATCCAATTTCATTCATAAAGGCTTTGAATTTAAAATTTGTTGTACCCAAATATGTATCAAGTTAACATATGAGCTATAAGGGGAGGCCGCTATAAGATAAAGAAAATAACATCTTTACTTTTCAGACAGTCACCTCACTGTAATACAAACAAATGGCTGCACCTTCAGTAACAAAAATTGCAGTCCTTAGAGACATCTGAACTCACTACACTTAAAACAGTTCACCCTAGCTTGACAAATGTATCAAAAATACTTTTCAAATTGTCATTAAATATATTCATGCTATCACAAGTAGATTTTCAACACACATTTAAATAGTACACTTTAATATGTGTACAGCGTACTTTAAATATCAGAGATGTTCTTACCACTAAATGTTTAAATCCATAAACTGAAGAGTTCTATTTCACACAAGTGTTCTGACCATGACATAATTATATTGGTTTCAAACATTGTAACTAAATGTGTATTCTTGTGGCCTGGTGGTAGTCCAGTACTGTATTATTCAGTACAAGAATATCAATCCAATGTGTCTCCCTGCACTGAAGTCATTCCCAAGTAAATTATCCAAAAACAATGGAGTTATCTCCCCTGAATCATTAGGATTACCAAATGAAAGAAATGTTTGTAAGAATAGTTTGTCATGTTATGAAAATGAAGATAAAACTGTCAATTCTAAGATTGACCAGATTAAAATATTTACCAAGATCAATATATATTCAGATGAGAAAAACATCATAACCATCAAAGCTTACAGCAGCTGTAATGAATGTTTCATACTGTAGAGCTAAAATGGACCTATATTACATGCAGAAAGGTCTTATGAAATAGGTAGTAAACAGGTTTATTTACTGTACATTCTAAAGCCATGATCAGTAGTATGGGCTACATGGTACAAGAGGCAAGAAATTTACAATTGTAGTTAAATATCAAAGCAGGGAGACAAAGATCAGGTAAAGCTCTTGGTTTATACAGATAATGCTTTGCTGTGAGTTTGACAACATCCCATAAAATATACCCTGACTGAGGTGGCTCCCGGAACATCACCTGTTTTCAAGAAAGTGATGAAATAACTTTCAAAACTCCAATACTTGAACACAGTCTCTGAGCACTTAGAGAAGAGTAAGTCTGCATATAGGCCATAGATTTCACTGATTGAGCGAGATGATGATGAACACATTGTTTGTCTGTAATATTCTCAATTTGACATTTAACCTGTATACACTTAACAGTTCTAAGGGAAACACCTCCATCCTCTCACAGGTGAGAGTCAGCTGGTGGTTTGTTTCCTCGTGATTTCCCACATGGGTACCAGGTGAAGCCCATTTCCCACATGGGTACCAGGTGAAGCCCATTTCCCACATGGGTACCAGGTAAAGCCCATTCCCCACATGGGTACCAGGTGAAGCCCAGGTGAAGCCCATTTCCCACATGGGTACCAGGTGAAGCCCATTTCCCACATGGGTACCAGGTGAAGCCCATTTCCCCACATGGGTACCAGGTGAAGCCCATTCCCCACATGGGTACCAGGTGAAGCCCATTTCCCACATGGGTACCAGGTGAAGCCCATGAAGCCCATTCCCCACATGGGTACCAGGTGAAGCCCATTTCCCACATGGGTACCAGGTGAAGCCCATGGGTGCCAGGTGAAGCCCCACATGGGTACCAGGTGAAGCCCATTTCCCACATGGGTACCAGGTGAAGCCATTTCCCACATGGGTACCAGGTGAAGCCCATTTCCCACATGGGCCCACCAGGTGAAGCCATTTCCCACATGGGCACCAGGTGAAGCCCATTCCCACATGGGTACCAGGTGAAGCCCATTTCCCACATTACCAGGTGAAGCCCATTTCCCACATGGGTACCAGGTGAAGCCCATTCCCCCATGGGTACCAGGTGAAGCCCATTCCCACATGGGTGCCAGGTGAAGCCCATTTCCCACCAGGTGAAGCCCATTTCCCACATGGGTACCAGGTGAAGCCATTCCCCATGGGTCCCACATGGGTACCAGGTGAAGCCCATTTCCCACATGGGTACCAGGTGAAGCCCATTTCCCACATGGGTACCAGGTGAAGCCCATTTCCCACATGGGTACCAGGTGAAGCCCATTTCCCACATGGGTACCAGGTGAAGCCCATTTCCCACATGGGTACCAGGTGAAGCCCATTTCCCACATGGGTACCAGGTGAAGCCCATTTCCCACATGGGTACCAGGTGAAGCCCATTTCCCACATGGGTACCAGGTGAAGCCCATTTCCCACATGGGCCCAGCCCATTCCCACATGGGTACCCAGGTGCTTCCACATGGGTGCCAGGTGAAGCCCATTTCCCACATGGGTACCAGGTGAAGCCCATTTCCCACATGGGTACCAGGTGAAGCCCATTTCCCACATGGGTACCAGGTGAAGCCCATTTCCCACATGGGTACCAGGTGAAGCCCATTTCCCACATGGGTACCAGGTGAAGCCCATGCCCCACATGGGTACCAGGTGAAGCCCATTTCTGGTGTTCTCTGACTGAAGCAGTGTTAAAAGTGGTGTAAACCAAACTGACTCACTCATGGTTGTACCTCATCTTGCAGCCATACAGGTGATGTTCAGGGTGATGCCTCTCCTTTCCCAAGCCCTGTTAACCCTCTACATGCTAAAGAAGGAGTCACATGTTATTATGCTATGATATCCTGAATGCCATGATTCCTCTGTTGCTGCATCACTCACAAACCTACACAATCCATGGTTTTACTTCACGACACTGAAAGCTGAAAGTGACTGTGAGAATATATCTGACAATGAAAATATCTCCAACATGACTGGACATAGGTACTGCCAATTTTTTAGTCTCATGATGTACAATTAGACAAATCAACTCTTATTGATGCAAAACTGATTTGATACCATGTTGATTTGTGTAGCTGCCTTTTGATATAGTCACACTGAAATTGATAAACAAGATGGACTTGTTCTTATTTTAGGTATCAAAATACTCATCTTTCCATACATGATATTATATCTCATGCACTTGTTCAGAATCAGGCAGTTTTTCACAACTAACACTAACAATTAGCAACCCAACAAACTGCGTTTGTAGTATCAGAGACCGACTCTTCCTCTCCTGCAGGAGACTTCACTACATGTGCGTCTCATCAGAGAAGAAATCGATTAATGAAGCCACACCTAATCCTAATTAGAGTAAGAGAAATAATGAAATAATATTACCTTCACTACGCCAAGTCAGACTGTTGTCGCAAGGCAACCGATACTCTTGAGCCAAAATGGTGGCAACGAAACATGCAGTCTGATTCACACACAATTTTAACTTGTACTTCTAATACAAAGCCAGTTGGGCAGTTTTCTGTGTGTTGCTATGTGCAAAAAGCATAAAATTAAACTCTTAATGTCTCACTCTTACGGTTTCCATAACAACAGTAAATAAATCTTATCTTTAATGACACTCATTTCATTTCTGACAATGGAAAATGTCACAGATATTCACAGCCATTGCTTAACAACACAAGTAATTCTGACGAACATGAATGTCCCATCTCTGTAAATTACCCACAGAAATGGCAGATGGACAACAGAGCAAAATCAAAATCACTTGTTTAGAGACACAGGGACAGATAATATAACAATTGCACTATGTTCGAGGGGAAACAGTGACTAATAAACTCATAGTGTTAGTTCACATAAACATCATCGTCTGTGAATCGTCTAAGAATTACTTGAATTACTATTTCATGAAACTTCATATTCTTATTCAGAGTCTGACTTTACATCAGTTTCTAATGGCGATCATGATTGTCCACAAAGAGAAACCTTTAGAGAAAATCAAGCCAAATATCACCCTGTAATTTAGTTCCAAACTATTGGTGTAAAACTTGCATTGGTTGGTGTAATTCTTTATAGACAACAGTCATGTTCTTCACCAAGGATAACAGTCAATGGTATTAATATGTCATCTAACAAAATAAACTTGCATCCAACTGGATGATTTGTCAGCACGACAGATGGCCTCTGGCCGATCAGTGTCACAGAACCAACATGAAGGTGACAATACACTGACATGGCTACCAGGAAATATACAGGAGAAAATATACAGAAAGCACTACATGTGTCAGGCAAGAAAGTGAAAAGCCAAGAAACTAGTCTAACAAGCACTTGAATGTACCCTTGCTCTGACACGTACATGGAGAACGAAGGGCTATACCTACAAAGCAAAAATCTACACGTCTCCCATGGTCCTGTGTCCGACATTCAAAAAAAAACACGATCCAGTTTTGCTGGTGATTGAGTTGAAACAATGCGTACTGAACAGAGTCAGGATCATGCATGTCCAACTGCCATATTTGTTACAGATGAGTCAGTTTCTATAAATGGAAATGTAGGATGGTGGACTGATAAGTCCCTTGTCTGCTAGAACACAGGAGCTGATGTTTAGTAACGAGGATAGCAATGATGCTGAGGGGAGGAGGACTCGATATTAAGACTCTTCAGGATGCCGAATGGGTCCATCTCCATCTCGGTGCCTGGAGTGATGAAGCCAGATGGAGTTCGGGGAGTTTGAGGTTCGATCAAAGGAGATGTGTCCATATTTGACCCATTTCTTGAGACTGGGGCAGGAGGCAATGGTGGCTTCCTGAGGACTCCTGCATATGACAACTTTTCTCCATTCTGACTGCCAGCAGATGATGGTTCTGCACCTTTGTCTGACAGGTCCTGTCCATTGTTCAAGTTGAGCTGGAGTTTAGTCAGTGAGGACAAGCGACTCTGACCATTGAGTTCCCCAGGCTTGTTTTTCGGCAGTGGTTCCTCTTCCTCTTTTTTCTCCTCAATGCTTTCTTCAATCATCCTCACCAAGTCTGTGATCTCGGTAGGAGTTGGCAGGTCATCGCTGAACTGACGACTGAACCCCGTTTTCAGTTTCAATTGCTTTCTTGCTTGTTTCTTATTTGAAACAATATTTAGGTTGTCTCTGTTGTTAATCTTCTCAACTTTGTTGTTGTCTGGCATTTTCCCATAGTTTGCAGGACTGTAGGGTCTCTCTGACAGTGGGGTCGACCTCCTCTCTTCCCGCCTGTCCTCAGGGGGTGGAGTGGTGGGTGTGCTACTCTTTGACCCCACTTCTTTCCCTTCTGTGTTCAGGAGGTGAGCAGGCACGTGTTTGACTCCTGGCATCAGCTGAATCTTCTGCCCCAACACAGACGGCGATGACCGATCCTCTGATCTGCTCCTCATCTCAGCATCTTCCATTGGTGTTGGAGTGGACACATTAGAATTGGAGCCAGATGAAGGCCCTGAGCTCTGACCTCGCTCTCCTGCCTGAGGCCCCGAGGGGTGACCATAGGGCAATACTGGACCATAGGGAGCAAAGCGGGGGCCTTGAGGCATGAATGGAGGCTGATGAACAGACAGTCTGTGGGGGTGCTGTTCATCCCCGATGTAGAAGTACGGATGATGCTGGAACATGGGATGGTGGTAATATGGTGGATAAGACATCGGCATCCGAGGCGGCAGATACACCATCATGCGACCTTTAGGCTGCTTGTAGAATGCCTTCATGTGGGATGGAGGATGATCCCCTTGTTTGGCTCCATCTGGTGAGTTCTTGCCATGCTCAGGCCGACCACGCATGCCGTGATTGGCTGGGGGCATGGGTGTAGCTCTGGTTGTGACCGTCTTGGGTGAACTGGACCTTCCACTGACTGGGCTCCCTTGACGGTGTGGGATGTACGGCCGGTAGACCATGGGGCTGAAGAAGCCGGGGTGGTACATGGGCATCGGATAGTACGGCATCACTGGAGGCTGGTACATCTGTAACAGGGCACAGGGAACAATGTAAGGCTGGGTGAGTGGGTAAGTGGGTGCTTGAGTGTCAGATAGTGGGTGAGATTGTGAGTGTCAGATAGTGGATGAGGTAGAGCAGGTCAGATAGTGGGTGAAATAGTGAGTGTCAGATAGTGGGTGAGATAGTGAATGTTATAGAATGGAAAACATTGCATGTCAGATAGTGGGTGAGATTGTGAGTGTACAATATCGGTGAGATCGTGTTGCATAGTAGATGTCAGATAGCGGGTGAGATTGTGAGTGTACATTGGTGAGATCGTGGGTGGCATACTGCATGTCAGATAGTGGGTGAGATTGTGAGGGTACAATATGGGTGAGAACGTGAGTGCACAGTGTAAGACAGTGATTGTGAGTTAGTGGATGAGCAGTGGGGTAAGATATTGGAACATTATCAACAATGATAATAATTCTTAGAATACTACCTCTAACACTCGATTGCCTTTTTAGTGAAACTTGTTTCTGAATCTACAGGTTTAGCTTGAATACAATTTCTGAAGTCCATGGTTTTGCGTTGTCTTTCTTGCAATACATTTGGAATGCAAACTTATATTGACAATGCCAGCAAGTAAACAAATATTGCAAAACCAGATCAGTAATTTTCTATTAGCATCAGTGAAAATATAGGGATGGCTCAAACAAAATAAAGCCAGACTGCATGTCTGTACCAACCGGCTGGATGACAGAGTGTCCATAAGACGTTGTCATGGGATGGTATGGACTGAGGTGCTGCCAGGGCATGTTGTGGGGCATCCCTTGGAGGAACTGGCCTGCTGCGTCTGCTGCTGACTGGGAGCTGTGGAACAAACGATTCGGGACAAACTCTGGAGCCAGGGGATTCAGGACATAGGTCTTGGTCATTTCCGCACCATCCAGTTGTGAGCGAAGACTCGTCCATGTCATGCCATGGAAGCTGCTGCTGTTGTTGCAGATCTCCAGATAGTACTCCCACACTTTCCTGTGGAGAGCAACATGGGATAGTGAGCACAGCATGGACGTTCTGACAAACCTGAAGATGGTGTTGGATGCTTGCATTTCAAAATACAAACCAAACACTGTGGCCATATCACTGAAATATTGGCATCTGTCAGAATGACAGTGCCTCTGGGACGTGCTATTAGGTATAGCCTTTTTAAAACAAGAGTCATCAGAAGATGACATATCCCCCCGGCCCACACTTATTTGAAAGAACAAATTATCTGACAGTTACTTAAAATCCAACTGACGTTTTTTTAAACTAAGTCCAAATCGTTTCCATGGAAATCATGAGACATATAAATGCCAAAAATCTGTAAATAGCAAAAGGCACCATTTCAAAATTTGCCTAATATATCTGCCAAGTTCTGCTGAAAGATACTGAATGCTTTTCGAGTTGTGCACCGCAAATGAAGCCCACCCCTCCCTTTTGGGACTAAGTCCTAATCATTTCCATAGAAACCGGAAAAATAAATATGCCAAAATTCTGCCAAATAGCAAAAGGCACCACTTTGGCATCTGCCTCACATATCTGCCAAATTTTGCTGAAAGTTTTCCAGTTGTGCTCCGGAAACGAAACCCACCCCTCCCTTTTGGGACTAAGGCCGAATCGTTTCCATGGAAACCGAGAAAATAATAAATCACAAAAATCTGCAAATAGCAAAAGGCACCAATCTGGGATCTGCCTCACATATCTGCCAAGTTTTGCTGAGAGATATTAAGAAGTTTTCCAGTTGTGCTCCGGAAACGAAACCCACCCCTCCCTTTTGGGACTAAGGCCGAATCGTTTCCATGGAAACCAGGAAAAATAAAAATGTCAAAAATCTGCAAATAGCAAAAGGCACCACTTAAGGTTGTGTTTGATATATCTACCAAGTTTTGTTGAACAATATTGAAAAAATAATAACTTCTGAGACTACTTACTTAATCATGAACATACCACGAAATGTAGACAACAATCAGTTACATGCTTTCATGCAATAATACAACACAAGCCCTGTCTGTTCTATAATTAACCAATAGTGAGAGTAATCTTACATTTTTCTTATTTATGGATAAAATATATATAATTTTATTGGTTTAATTAGCTGATCATAACCCTCAGAATCACTTGTAATATATTTTTTCCTTTATATACCTGCACTTGCCAACAAGGCAGAGGGAAACTGGATCGCCAACAACAACGACGAGAGACTGAGCTCGCGTGATTGCTGTATTGAGGAGCTTCACATTCGATAGGAAGCCATAGTCCATCAGGTCCTCAACACTTGTGTCTGAACGGCAAGAGTGGCGTGTCCGTACAGTGCTCAAGATGATCACACGATACTGTTTGCCTGAATAACAAGAATCAATATCAACAAAACGTTGGTACAAAAGATGAAAAGCAGTTTCCACTTAAGCATGTTTCAAGCTTTAGCACTCAAGGCATTCTGCGTGAAAGGAGCAAGATTTTTATGAACAAGACTCAACATTAGAAGCGTTAGAAGCTGATGCCATTCCTACATTGGGTCAGCCATCATATTCAGAGGACGAGTAGGAATTTCTCATTTCTGGAAGGCTTTCTTTTATACCCCATAAGAAATTGGTGATTGAAAAGGTAAGAAATTGTGGAATGAACTTTTACATGAGGGTGCTTTTATGAAAGATTAGACAGCTGCAGATGTCAACTTTTCATGCCTTACTCCATATCACAACATTAGTGAAAGTCAAGGTGAGCTGGAGCTGATCCTTACCCTGCACGTTGAGCACTCGCTCCACAGAAATATTGTACATCTTCTTCTTCCTCATCTCTGCTCGGATACGGATAACCTAAAGTTTAGAAACGAGTCAAGTATTCTTTAGACTTTTCGTATTATGCTGCTTTCATCATAACACCAGCAATATCATGGAGTGATATAACAAGCTTCACACGTCATCTTTGTGTAAATTCAGGTTTTTAAACGCAAAAATGTTTACACTATTTACTTTCAAATGGTATTTGTCCATGTTTTTTTCTTCAAATAAGTTAGCTTTAGTCAAGCCATTTGCCACAAGCAAGCCTTGGCTGAAAAATAATTTATAGTTTGCATGAAAGAATTTAGAGGTATAATTTTGCTTCAAGCTACCGTTAATATCAAATCCTGACTGTATTTCAATTTCACAACTTAAACTAGCTCACCTGGTCTGAGTAAGGAGCTACAACTCCGATGCCACCCTCCTCAATGGGTCCCCAGTCTTCAGGCCACTTCTTCACCAGTTCATCAACTCTTTCAACAATTTCATACACCTGTATGTATAAAAATATAGACAATATTTAACACTATCTGTCAACTGTCTGTAAAGTAAATTTACCATATTTTGCAAATGATAAATTTTCTAGTTACCCACTAGTTATCTCCCTTGTCTCACCTCTGAGTTGTTGTAGAAGCCGGTGCTGTTGGCATGCTGGATCTCTTCCCCTTTTGCAGCGTAGAATGTCAGTGGGTAGTGGCTGTTGTGAGCTGTCAGCTTCCCACTGGCGATCAGCTTATTGTCGTAGAACAGCTCGGATGTGAAGTCCACTATGGCTGAGTGTGACCTATAGTTTTCACACAGCATGATCTTACAGGCGGAATCGGCTGGGTAGAGCTCGTACAGACGCTCCAGGAGGGAGGAGTGGAAACCCTGCTGCCGAGTGTAGTCCGAGTACACCTCAGGACTTAGCTGCAACAGTTATATTGTGTGTTGAGTTTTACATTTATTTTAGGAATTCCCTTACCATGTCTGACTTTGAGTTACTTAGCGTGTGAAGACTTAGTGAGTTAGAGGTTAAGACATAAAGCAAAGAACTTAGCATACAACAGACTTAGCAGCTGAGTGATTTAGCAAGTGGCTTACTGACTGCAAGACTAAGTGATTAAAGAATATTTGTTTGACGTTTTGTGTGAAAAACTTAATGAATGACTTAATGTGAGAAGTAAATAGTAATTTAAAAGAGCAAATGAAAGATTTTTGGTGCATTAAAGACTAGGCAAGTGACTTGGTGTGTAAAATATCAGCAACCAACTAAACAAGTGTAGTGACTTAGTGAAAGATGTAACAAGTGACTTGGTGTGTGAAATATCAGCAACCAACTAAACAAGTGTAGTGACTTAGTGAAAGATGTAACAAGTGACTTGGTGTGTGAAATATCAGCAACCAACTAAACAAGTGTAGTGAAGTAGTGAAAGATGTAACAAGTGACTTGGTGTGTGAAATATCAGCAACCAACTAAACAAGTGTAGTGAAGTAGTGAAAGATGTAACAAGTGACTTGGTGTGTGAAATATCAGCAACCAACTAAACAAGTGTAGTGACTTAGTGAAAGATGTAACAAGTGACTTGGTGTGTGAAATATCAGCAACCAACTAAACAAGTGTAGTGACTTAGTGAAAGATGTAACAAGTGACTTGGTGTGTGAAATATCAGCAACCAACTAAACAAGTGTAGTGACTTAGTGAAAGATGTAACAAGTGACTTGGTGTGTGAAATATCAGCAACCAACTAAACAAGTGTAGTGAAGTAGTGAAAGATGTAACAAGTGACTTGGTGTGTGAAATATCAGCAACCAACTAAACAAGTGTAGTGACTTAGTGAAAGATGTAACAAGTGACTTGGTGTGTGAAATATCAGCAACCAACTAAACAAGTGTATTGACTTAGTGAAAGATGTAACAAGTGACTTGGTGTGTGAAATATCAGCAACCAACTAAACAAGTGTAGTGAAGTAGTGAAAGATGTAACAAGTGACTTGGTGTGTGAAATAGCAACCAACTAAACAAGTGTAGTGACTTAGTGAAAGATGTAACAAGTGACTTGGTGTGTGAAATATCAGCAACCAACTAAAACAAGTGTAGTGACTTAGTGAAAGATGTAACAAGTGACTTGGTGTGTGAAATATCAGCAACCAACTAAACAAGTGTATTGACTTAGTGAAAGATGTAACAAGTGACTTGGTGTGTGAAATATCAGCAACCAACTAAACAAGTGTAGTGACTTAGTGAAAGATGTAACAAGTGACTTGGTGTGTGAAATATCAGCAACCAACTAAACAAGTGTAGTGACTTAGTGAAAGATGTAACAAGTGACTTGGTGTGTGAAATATCAGCAACCAAACTAAACAAGTGTAGTGACTTAGTGAAAGATGTAACAAGTGACTTGGTGTGTGAAATATCAGCAACCAACTAAACAAGTGTAGTGAGATGTCTTAGTGAAAGATGTAACAAGTGACTTGGTGTGTGAAATATCAGCAACCAACTAAACAAGTGTAGTGACTTAGTGAAAGATGTAACAAGTGACTTGGTGTGTGAAATATCAGCAACCAACTAAACAAGTGTAGTGAAGTAGTGAAAGATGTAACAAGTGACTTGGTGTGTGAAATATCAGCAACCAACTAAACAAGTGTAGTGAAGTAGTGAAAGATGTAACAAGTGACTTGGTGTGTGAAATATCAGCAACCAACTAAACAAGTGTAGTGACTTAGTGAAAGATGTAACAAGTGACTTGGTGTGTGAAATATCAGCAACCAACTAAACAAGTGTAGTGACTTAGTGAAAGATGTAACAAGTGACTTGGTGTGTGAAATATCAGCAACCAACTAAACAAGTGTAGTGACTTAGTGAAAGATGTAACAAGTGACTTGGTGTGTGAAATATCAGCAACCAACTAAACAAGTGTAGTGACTTAGTGAAAGATGTAACAAGTGACTTGGTGTGTGAAATATCAGCAACCAACTAAACAAGTGTAGTGAAGTAGTGAAAGATGTAACAAGTGACTTGGTGTGTGAAATATCAGCAAACAATCAAACAAGTGTAGTGACTTAGTGAAAGATGTAACAAGTGACTTGGTGTGTGAAATATCAGCAACCAACTAAACAAAGTGTAGTGACTTAGTGAAAGATGTAACAAGTGACTTGGTGTGTGAAATATCAGCAACCAACTAAACAAGTGTAGTGAAGTAGTGAAAGATGTAACAAGTGACTTGGTGTGTGAAATATCAGCAACCAACTAAACAAATGTAGTGACTTAGTGAAAGATGTAACAAGTGACTTGGTGTGTGAAATAATATCCAGCAACCAACTATTGAACAAGTGTAGTGACTTAGTGAAAGATGTAACAAGTGACTTGGTGTGTGAAATATCAGCAACCAACTAAACAAGTGTAGAAAACTTGGTGTGTGTCAGCCAACCAACTAGAAGCAAGTGAGTGGAAGTAGTGAAGATGTAACAAGTGTGTGAAATATCAGCAACCAACAAACAAGTGTAAGTGAAGTAGTGAAAGAAACAGAGTGACTTGATGAGTGAAGATGTAACAAGTGACTTGGTGTGTGAAATATCAGCAACCAACTAAACAAGTGTAGTGAAGTAGTGAAAGATGTAACAAGTGACTTGGTGTGTGAAATATCAGCAACCAACTAAACAAGTGTAGTGAAGTAGTGAAAGATGTAACAAGTGACTCGGTGTGGAAGAGACTTAGTGGGTAACAAACCTGCATGTGATCCCCAGCCAGTACAATCCTGGTGGATTCTCCTGCCATGGAGAGAGGGATGAGAGTCTCACTCTCCAGAGCCTGTGCTGCCTCGTCTATGAAGATGTGGGTGAAGAAGCCTGTGGGCACAGAGAACAAACCTCACCATTTAGCAATACTCACCTGTGATAAATATTGATGCAGAGACATTGAGAAGCAGAAACATTCACTCAGATCACGACATATAGTGAGTGAGTGGATGAGTGAGTGAGTGAGTGAGTGAGTGAGTTTTACACCGCACTCAGCAATATTCCAGCTATGTGGTCTATAAATAATCGAGTCTGGACCAGACAAACCAGTGATCAACAGCACGAGCATCGATCTATGCAATTGGGGTACAATGACATTTGTCAACCAAGTCAGCAAGCCTGACCACTCGATCTCTTTTGTCGCCTCTTGAGACAAGCATGAGTTACTGAAGACCAATTCCAACCCGGATCTGCACAGGTCAAGTAAGTAATAACACAGCTCAATCACAGCAGCCCATGAGTCAAGTCTGAACAAGGCAAATGGTCATTGGCATATAAACCTGTTATAATATTGTTGTCTTCCGGTGGGGTAGCCAAGTGGTTAAAGCGTTCGCTCATCACACCAAAGCCCTGGGTTCGATCCCCACATGGGTACAATGTGTGAAGAACATTTCCTGTGTCCCCCTGCCGTGATATTGCTGGAATATTGCTAAAAACGGCATAAAACTAAACCCACTCACTGTTGTCTGTCCCTGGGGTTTCCTAGTTGGAACAGGTGCAAGACAACCTGCAGTTGTCATAAGCTGTGACATGGCTGGGTTTATCAAAGCTGTATCAATATCAATAACTTTGTTTTCTGGATACTAACTACTATAGTATACAGCTGTCCCTGAACAACTAAACAGGAATTAAGGACAACCTGATAGTTTTATATTACAATTCATGACATGAAAGATTAACTACAGTAATAAGACCAATTGGGTCTTCCTAACATTTTTGGAGTAGTATATAACATGACAATCTCCTCATTAGCCTGTGAAAACAACTTATTTTCTTTCACATGTAGACAAACATTGCCAAATTGTTTGGGTTGATTGCGAAAGTGCTGCCATATATCCTGCTCACCTGATGGTAGGTCAAGGTCACTGATGTATCGCGATGTGCTGAGTGTGGTGATGACAATCCTGTGTTTCTCGAGGTCCTCCAGCTTGGGATACCGGAACAGCCCCACGGACTTGTCCCACAGACAATAATCCAGGACAATGTCGGACACCGTCTGCACCCATCGCAGTCGGTACAACACACGTAGTGGCTTTGCTTCTGGGTGGTTGTCTTCCACATAAGGATGAAAGAACTCTCGGATGTAGAGATCTGCCGCACTACAAACACAGCCAAAGAACATCAAATGGATTAGTTTCATAACAGCAGGACATCCAACAACCAATAAGTTAACAAAGTGTTGCTTGTTCATTAACAATGACTTACTGCTTGTTATTTAACACACATACCAGCTGAAATATGACTAGAGCTGTAAGTCGAGACAAGCTGTTACAGAAATGAAACTAAAACCCATCTTGGACCTACCAAGATCCACTAACGCCTGCTCTACCCATCTGAGAGTGGCAGCTCACCAACTGGAATTGGTACAGAATGAAATATCCTGGACCTACTGGGACCCACTAACTACAGATGTAGGAAAGGCAGTTCACCTGGTACAGAATGAAACACAGTGTGGACCTACTACAGATCTAGGAGGGACAGTTCACCTGTTGGAGTGGGTACAGAATGAAACACAGTGTGGACCTACTACAGATCTAGGAGGGACAGTTCACCTGTTGGAGTGGGCACAGAATGAAACACAGTGTGGACCTACTGCAGATCTAGGAGGGGCAGTTCACCTGTTGGAGTGGGTACAGAATGAAACACAGTGTGCACCTACTACAGATCTAGGAGGGGCAGTTCACCTGTTGGAGTGGGTACAGATGAGGATCCTTGTGTCCTCCTGCTTGAGAACCTGCTTAGCTGCTTGAGCCATGGTGAATGTTTTCCCTGTCCCAAATGGCCCCACGATGAGGAGTGGCGGCAGTTTGATGTTGAGATCGGTGACTACACCCACTATGGCCTCCTTCTGCTTCACATTTAGCTTGTTGTCCATGTCCCCGTTCCACTGCCTGGAGCACAGTCATTGTGTCAGTAACAGCACAACAACGTCCCAATAAGGTGAGATTTAGGAACTAAAATCAGTTCAGTTTGGGTGATAACTTAATTTTGGAATCATTGTACCCACATACACAGGAGCTGCTTGTTACTTAATACTTAATGAAGTGTAAACAAACATTGAGACAATGTTTGGGAATGATCCTAACTTCAATATTCACAATAAGTAAAATATAGTTGCAAGCAACGATGCGGGCTCTTCGGTTTTAGTTCTATCTAGCCTATTGCGTCTGTCACATATTTGATGAAAGTTTTAACAGTTTTAGTTAATATGAATGATTTCACTGCTAGTCTTTGGAGATACATTACAGCAATCAGTAGTTATAATCGACACTAATAGCCCAATTGTACAGGTACATTTTGGTCGAAATTGGACGGTTGGTTTGAGAGTTACCGGTGTTTGAATTGTATTTGAGGGCAAGAAATCGTCCAAAACGGAGACAGAACACGTTTTTGACAGGTGAGCGGATCTTCCAAATACAGCCGTGGTCACGGGCGTCATGTACCTTTTAAGAAGTTCTGGAGAAGAAATAGTTCCCTCTTTAAAAGGCTGTATCTCAGTTGTTCATGGGTCTACGGTCAAAACAATTAGTGTTCTGGAATCACCAAGACTTCATCTATCATACTGGCACTTTCTGTGCAGAATTTGCACAATGGTTACTGGACATCAGTTATGGAAAGTCAGCTCCACACATTTTGGGAGCAAACTACTCAGAAAACTGCTGAAAAACATGGCCAAAAACTGAAAACAAAAATAACTGCCAAACGGTACAATTCAGCGACTTGACCCGTCCAGGCAAAATTGTTGGGAATTCAATTGTCCATCTGTACAAGAGATTTGGAAGTGTTGGAACAATTAGTTCTTGAGATATTTGCTGTCAAACTTTGAAATTTTGGAATTAATTTTGAATTATCTCCCCTTTGCTATTGCCCCTAGAGATGTTTAAGGGGAATATCTTCACCTCGATTATAATAGGTCTCCTGTGGGCATCTGTGTGATTTTTGTCACAGCTTATTCAGAGCATTGGTTTAGGAGGTATGTTTGGTACGAAAAAATACCGAACCCAGTCAGAGTGGAATAATAAATAATAATAATAATAATAATCTCGAACGATTACAATCAAGGTCTCCTGCCTAGAGGCAATGGGAGCCCTAAAAATAGAAAAACAAAGTTGAAGCAGACCCGCTACAGTTTTGTCTGTTTTTCTATAAGAAATACCAATTCCACCTGTACATAGTTTATACTGTCATTTAAAAGATATCAATTTACTAACAGCCATAGCTGTTTCTTTACTTTGGCCTATATCCAACTTATATGACAGCCATCATCAACAGTTCCAGAGTCTGCCATCACAACAGTACCTGTTTGGAGTCCAAGGGATGGCTGGATCACTCTTGTGAGGAAACACAATGTCCAGCGTAGGCAGTTTATCAACAGCTGAGTGCATTTCACACTTGGAAAGGCGGTTCAGCTGGAACTGCACCTGGAACAACACAGGTTGGACACATATAGAATACTTGGGGAGTGATTTAAAGTCACATAGGCAATATTTCAGCAATGTCATGACTGGGAGACATTTCTAATAAAGTGTACATAATGACATATTGTATATATATATATATATACATAAAATGGCACCTTATTGTGGAGTCAACCTTCACGTCAAACAGGTAATACACCTTTCTCTGTCACATTCTACTCATTTTATCAATGCATTCTTTTAAGTTATTGACCAAGTTTCATAAGAATTACTAAAGCAGAGGCCTGGATTAAACCTTAAATATTTACTTTGTTTACAGTTTCTCTCATTTTTATTTGTTTCAATTTGTAGAAAAATTGATGCATTAAAAATTGGTTGAGAATTATAAAACTCAGATGCTGCTTGTCAATGAGGACTACCATCATTGGATGTGTAATTTTCCTCAACACAACTCAGTAGACTTGGGCTATTGGACTATTATGATCTTCAAAGGCTGTGAGCGAAAAACGCATTGAGGTGTCCCTCCAACCATCTCTACACAACATGCACCTACATCAGCTTGTGATGGCAATACAAGTTACTCCATGGCTTCCCCAGTCATGTGACAAGTGTAGCCCAATCACTGTTGTTCAACCTATTCCTGGTTTGTTCACTAACTGTACCTGAGCCTCAAACTCCTGGTCACATGACAAGTTGAGTTCTTTGATGCAGCGGGCGGAGACTCGCAGGAAGATGAAGTTCTTTCCCTTGTCCTCTATCAATGCTTCGTACACCTACAGAAAGATACACATAGTCTAGATAACATGATTTATGGACAGGCTTTGCTCCTTGTGAGTGAGATTAACCCGATATGAGCAGTAATTCAGCATGTTGGAAGAAGTATTACACAAATCAAATATTCATCGAACTTGGGGAAAAAAAATAATCAGCCAAGGATAACAATTGACTAAAATCTAGCATTTGTGCTATAACAAGTGGGTGCAATCCTGAAGAATGAAACAGATTGGCTCCAGGACACATCTGCCCCTGTGAACCGCTCTTCTGAAAGAATGCTTTTATATTTCAAAACATCTGCAAAACCTCTAAGGATACTAATGTTTTTAGAACTAATAAACTCTTTCAGGATATTAATCCCTTAAACAGATAGTTATATAGTTTGTTTCAACATCAGAACTGCCCTATTTTTCTTAAACAGACAACAACATTTGAAGCCAAACCTGGTCTGTCTGCGCCAGTTTTCCTTCAGCATCAGTGATGGCCGGTGCGATAAGTGCCATCTGGGAGTTCATCAGGATGAGCCGCCCTCCCATAGAGTCCTCAGAGAGGTCATCCTCAAGCTTCATCCTCGCGAACAGCTGTCCATCATGGGCATACTTGGCAGTAGACAGGGCACCCGGCATCAGAAGGAAGCGGTTCACCAGCTGGAGGGATGTCTTTACATTGAATCTGAGAGGAATAATGAGAATGTTGCACAAGTGGTTGGCCACAGCCTGTATTATCAACACTACAGCATGATCTGTAGTGTGGACCAGTCAATAGTGATACTCTTCTAGAAAAGTCTTTCTGTTATATACCCTCATTTTCGTTTGTTGTGGATGGAAAGTGCTAAGGTAGGATCACCAGCATTCATCCCTTAAGAGTGAGTGAGTGAGTATAGTTTTATGCCGCTTTTCGCAATATTCGAGGAATATCACAGCGGGGGACACCAGAAATGGGCTTCACACACTGTACCCATCATCCCTTAGAGAAAACAACAAGAGCAGTTCAAGAGAGTGACAGTCAAAGAAATATCATAAGAGAGCATCTGGGATTCCAACCATGCCAAGTGCATGACTTAAAGGCCCAGCTCTACATATATTATCAGAGTAACATTATTTTTCAGGGCATTATCATTTGCAGAAGCCCGAGGTCTTCTGCAAATGATAATGCCCTGAAAAATAGCATTACCGTTATTATAGCTAAAATGGATAGAATTTTTAATAAAAATGTAATTTTCTGAATTAAATTGATATTTTATACTTATCCTGACTCATGCTTATTGCTTGTCTCCTTCCTCTTGCGAACATTAGTGGAACACTTGTATCTTCTATTGAAGCTCCCTTCAATAAAAACATACATAAAATCACTACTCACCATGAGTTATCCCTCTGGCCGTTTTGGCGGGAAAAGTGGCGCCACCGCTCCCACATGCTTCACTCTCTCCGATTTATGAGCCCGACACTTTAATTTGCAGGGAAATCCAAAAGTGTCTAGCGGGGAGGTTGGGAGGGCTTATCTCATGAGTCAGGATAAGTATAAAATATCAATTTTATTCAGAAAATTACATATTTTTCCTTATCCTGACTCATGCTTAATGCTTGTAGAATCCGTCGGATTTGGAGGCAGGTCAAGTTACTTCTGGATTTCATGTAGTGATTTACGTCTTATATACCCCCCTATGGGAACTTCATGTTGGCACTGCTGTTTTCTCTGCTGCTGCTGTAACCCTGTACTTCCAGCTGTCTCTGACGGGGGGACCACAATAGTTAACTTTTGGTCCTGGCTTCTGTTAACATTTTAAATGGATTTTGCGACTCCATCTCTTGACGCAAGCATCAAGTGGAGAAGCGACCCTTTCCTGTACGAGTATCCTTACAAGTACTGGGTCATATCACTTATGCTAGTCTGTCCTTAGACGTGCATATAGACTCCCAAGCTGAACTCTTCCGAGTGTAGGCTTTATCAAGTCATGTGATAAAAGGGCGAGACTTCGTCTCAACGCCTTTGAGGGACTGTCAACTGTTGTGCAACAACCAGCGGGCCGAAATGGTGAATGCTGGAGACGTCCTCGGTGGCGATGTCCCTCAGGTAATGGTTGGCAAACACCATGTCTGATTTCCAAAAGCAGCCCTCCATTATTGTCCTAATAGAGCAATTCCCATGTAGAGCGAGTGTTGACGCCAGAGCTCTAATCTCGTGTGGGTTGGAGGCTCTTGGAGGATCTAGTCCAGCTGCTTTGTAGGCCCGTAGTATGACAGTTCTGATCCAGATTGATATCGTAGTGCGGGAGATCTCTGTCTGTGGCTCTGTTGATATCGGGATGAAAAGACGCTTGAATTTCCGTCTCCTGATCCTGGATCTTTGTAGGTATACTTTCAATGCTCTCACTGGGCACAAGGATAGATCCTGCGTATCCTGTGGTCCAAGGACGGATGATAATGCTGGGATGTGGAATTGTCTGTCCGGTTGACCTGGCAGTTGATTCTTTGCGATGAAATCCCATCGTAGTCCCATATGCACGGTGTTTTGATTTTCATCAAATCGTGTTCTCTCGTAGTCCAGAGCATGTATTTCTGACATCCTGGCTGCTGTTGCTAGGGCGAGTAGGAACAGCGTCTTTCGCGTCAAGAACTCGAAGGATGTCCTCTCTAATGGTTCGTAGACGTCGCTGGTGAGATCTCGTAGAACTACGTTGAGGTCCCACGCCGTAGCTTTAAATCTCTGTTGTTGGTCCTCCAATTTATAAGAGCGTAGTAAGGCCAGTAACTCTGGTACTTTCGTCAGTTTGGCACCCGTCCTCATGGAGATGACTGAGCTCAATGCCGCTAGGTATGTTGAAAGTGTTGACCGCTTTGTTTGTCGTAGGTGACAAAGGTAGTCCGCCACTTGAGGATGTGTTGCCTTTATGGCTGTAAAGCCTGTCCTCGCAGCGTATGTCTCGAAGCTTCGCCACTTGTCGTCGTACAAGTTGCGCGTAGACTTGCGTAGAGCTAGTGTGACTGCTTTCGCTGCCCTGGCGGAATATCCTCTCTTGTTCAAGCATGCCTTGATACAGTCCACACGTGTAGTCGGAACACCTCTGGGTTGCCGTGCACCTGCTTTGTGTGAGGATGTACTAGTAGATTCATCCACTCTGGTAGTTGTATGAGAATGGGGAACCATATTCTCGCTGGCCAGTAGGGCGCGACTAAAATCAGTTGGAGGTTCCTGGTCTGGCTGATTTTCTGCAACACCCTCGGTATTAGAGGTGGTGGTGGAAACGCGTGGTACGCGTTTAGTCCTTCCCAGGAGATGCTTAGAGCGTCCGTTGCCCATGCTCGTGGATCTGGTATTGGTGAGACGAATGTTATCAGTTGATTGTTGAATCTCGTGGCGAAGAGGTCTATTAGTGGTGCTCCCATCTCTTGTATGATCTGTTTGAAGATCTCTGGGTGTAGCATCCATTCTGTTGAGGATGGCTGCGTTGGACGGGACAGTGCGTCTGCGATCACATTCTTGGCTCCTGGAATGTGGCATGCTCTCATGTGGATGTTCAGGTCATCTGTTATGCCGAACAGTTGAAAGCAGAGGTCAAGGAGGTTCAATGATCTTGTTGATCCTTGCCTGTTGATGTAGAACGCCACTGTGGAGTTGTCTGTATGTACCATCAGATGCGCATCCTGCAGAATGTTGGTCCAGTGGAGTATGGCGTTTACTACTGCTTTCATTTCTAGCATGTTGATGTGCAGAACTTTCTCCTCTTTGGTCCATGTCCCAGCTGACACGTCGTTGTCGAGATGTGCTCCCCAACCTTGGAGTGATGCGTCCATGTAGAGATGCGTCGTGCACTCCGGCTCTGCTAAATAGGTGCCTCCGCAAACATTCGATCTCTGGCGGATCACTGGAGGGAAGAGGGTCATCTGACTCAGGGACTCAGCCGGCTTATCCATGACTTGAACAAGTCGCCTGGATCTGTCTTTTGCATGCCTAAGTACGCAAAAAATATATTTATTAAATTCAAAATTGGTTAAATGCTGACAAAGGTTGCTGCGAGAGCTGGAAGTACATGGTGTTGTGCAGCTAGGGCACAATAAATGAGGGTCTGCAGCAGAGAACCTAAACCTACAACGAGAACAGGTTTTCATGAAATGTAAACAACTGAACAAACACGGACAAAACCGTGCATAAACAGTGAAATTTACGAATTAATTTCAAACCATATTGTTGAAGGATACTCCCTAAACTCCTATAAAGGTAACGTATAGGGTAATAACAAATAAATGAAAGGATAAAATGCCGTATAGAAGACACAGGCGCTCTCCCAACCATCCACTAGGGCGAAGAAGGAGAGAGTGAAGCATGTGGAAGCGGTGGCACCATTTTTCCCGCCAAAACCGCCAGAGGGATAACTCATGGTGAGTAGTGATTTTACGTATGTTTTTATTGAAGGGAGCTTCAAAAGAAGATACAAGTGTTCCACTAATGTTCGCAAGAGGAAGGAGACAAGCAATAAGCATGAGTCAGGATAAGGAAAAATTAAAAACTTACAACGGTATCGGTTTTGAAGCATTTACTGCTAACAACAAACGACGGAGGTCATTGACCCACTTTTTTACAAATATGGAAACGTCATAGAACAAAACAGATGACGTCACTATTGAGCATGATCTCATACGACCTTGACCTTTGCCCATACTACCAGCTGCCATTTTTTTCATTGCTCAACAACATTAGAGTTCCAGTAGATGTTTTCATTGCTGCATGTTGTAATCTATGGTACAATTGTTAAGGTTGGCACCGGCAAGAAAGTGCGTAATGGCAGAGGTACATGTGACGAATTTCAGTCAGAAACTTCATCAATAATGAACCAAAGTTCAAAGGAGCCGTAGGTGATTGAACATCAAGATTTGAGCTACTTATGACGTCACCTAACAATGGGCTTGATAATGGCCCGTCGTCAAGCATTTTGGGGGCATTATCAAGTTAGAGTGGCCCGCTCATTTCTGATAACATGCGGGCATTTTAATGATAATTCTATCTATTTTAGCTGTATACATGTGTAATCTGTTTCAGCAGTGGAGGCATATTTTGATGTATCTCTCCATACCTGCCCTGACTAAGAGGTCCAGTTAGTTACAGAAGTACAGTGGAGGTGTATAGTGAGGAGGGTTGTGGAGACTGACCGGGACACGAAGCTGAGCTGGGCCATCTCCTCCAGGTAGAGCATCTCATGCATCCAGAGGCGGTAGTTCTCCTTGCTGAGGGTCTGGATGATGGTCTCTGACATGGACAGCTTCTCCGGCCGAGGTAATGTGTACTTAGACAGGAGGTTCTTCTCTGTGTCAGAGTACGGGTTGGAACTAAAATAGACAATGATCAAATCATCTAAAAAGTGTGTGAGTGACGTCTAAAGATGCTTTGAATAGTATTTCAGATGTATCATGTGTCCGTTAAAGTTGCAGCGAAGGCCGAAGCTGGATAATTTTAATAAGTCAATTTTGAAACCTACAAGCACCGGTAAGATGACAGGCCAAGGACCAAGGGGTCATGGTTTTAGCCCAATGTCAGCAGATTTTAACATGGCTGAGGGAAATAACTCTGTTCTGTTATTCTATGTTCCTCAGAACATTTACCTGCCTGTGCCCAAATTTTACAATTTTACTAAGCAGCTAACACTGATGCAGGTGCTAAGAACTTTCACAAAGAGAACTGTTTCATAGAAGTATATGCAAGTGACACCTGCTGTCAGAGATTGAATAGTAAAGACCAGAAATAGTTGAGGAATATAAACCTTGGCACTTGTTTTTTGGCAGCTACCCTTTCCACACAATAATAATAATAATAATAATAATAATTGATTTATAGAGCGCCTATTTCCAAAAGATATTGCTCAATGGCGCTATGAAGAGAAAAGATTGTAGACAATGTCTATGGAAAAGAGAGTTTGAACAGATGAGTTTTGAGGGCAGTTTTGAAAGCATCAGCAGATTCTATTTCTTTTAGGGTGAGTGGTAGAATGTTTCAGAGATAGGGGGCTGCAGCAGAGAACGATCTTGATCCCATGGCTGTTTTGACGTGAGGCTGTGTAAGCAGTAGGGAGTTTGACGAGCGGAGCAATCGGCTTGGAACATGGAGATGAATGAGGCTTTTAAGATATTGAGAAAACATGTTTTCATAGATGCAGCTGTGTGTAAGAAGAAGAAGTTTGTATTGAATTGAACACAACTGTGTTTAATGTGAAATGCACATGGAGTCTGCTACTTAATACATGATTATGGTTTGCAAATTCGAGACTGCATCAACACCTGAAAAGAAATGTGTAATGACATTGTAATCTGCTGTCACAAATTAGACTGATTGCAAAATCACTATTACAGATCTGGGTTAGAATTGGTCTTCAACAACCCATGCTTGTCGTGAAGAGGTGACTAACGGGATCGGGTGGTCAGACACACTGCTTGGTTGACACATGTGCGATGCTCATGCTGTTGAACTGGATTGTCTGGTCCAGATTCAATTGTTTACAGACTGCTGCCATATAGCTGGAGTGCAGCATTAAACAACAACCCAACCAACCAACCCCAACCTTTCTCTTCCAGTGAAACTTACACAGGTTCAAAGGGTGTAATTTCCACTTTCTCCTCCGTCCACCTGCTGGAGTCTGTGAGGATGAGGTCCTTCGTCAGCTTCTCAGTGTCCATCACTGGTGCAGACTCCACCTGCATCTCGCGGGCCATCACCGCCTCCAGACCAAAGTCAAAGACAATGGACTGCCTGAATGTGCCATACAGGTCGGTCTTGAATACAACCTGTAATGGAGAATAGAGTGAGGAGTTGTGTTTGATGCTAATCTGATCAGTATTTCCACAAAATCACAGCATGAGAGCTTCCTGTAATAGGAAACAATGTGATGCAGGTCTTGCTGACCACTTTTGCAAAAACCATGAACAAGGGTATGGTACTGACAAAATAAAAATCCTGACAAACCTAAAAATGTAATCATGGTGAACTGCAACTTACACCCGCAATCACAGCTAAGGAATGCTACTCAAAGTGGGACCTTTTGACAGCTTGGCCCTTAATGTTGTCCAGGAAGGAAAGTATAGGAAGGAAAGATTTTATTGGAAAAACATTGTCACAGGCGGAAGAACACCAATACTCAACTCTCTGCATAGCAACATGTAACTAAGGACAAATTATTGCATATTAAATCTGAGCAAGTTGTGTGGAAAGCATCCTTTATGATAGACAGGAATTAACCAAGCATCAACGCTGAATTTGAATTTTTTAACATAATATATATCGTGTTACCCCTTCAGCAAAGGACACAATTCAAGAAAATTAACTTGACAGAACTAACCACTAAAGTGTAAACATTTTGTTATGATTTTGATTCACAACATATCTTCTGCATGTGTTGGTGTGACTGACCTTGACCCTGTAGACGTATTCACCGTGGCCCTTGTTGGCAGTGTCCTGGTTGATCCACTCCTGGCACTGGTTCTCCAAGTTCTGGTACTTCTGTGTCTTCTTGGGGCCCACGGAAATGGACGAGATGTAGAAGTAGCTGCGGTTCACGTCATCCAGGAGGGCCACGCTGTGCAGGCAGATCTGTGGAAGGAAGAGCAGGAATGGACGTGAGGGACCTACCCTAATTACAGGACCTTGACAATTGTGTTCTGAGGGAGTGTGGGTGTGTCAGTGCGTGAGTGGTTTGCTATTATTTGTAGACATACTGCACCATGTACAATTGCTGCAATAAAACTGTAATCAACATGGATAGAAGGCTGCCTTCTCTGAACATTGTTCACTGTGTCAAAACCATTTTAAAGTTTTCTGGAGTAATATTGTTCCAAGTAAATGAATATGCTTTTCAATATATGCCTTGAAATTGTTGAAGGATTTCATAAACTCTAAACACCATAGAGAAAAAACCCCATATAAATCAATTATACATGAGATATTATTTACACTATGTCTATTGTCTTAGAATGTCTTTCTGTCCATGATTCTGCCCATGTGTGTCTGGTGTGTCAGTCCTTCTGTTTGCAATCTCTTACCTTCGAGGTGATGGTGAAGGTCCAGGCATTGGTGCACTTCTTGTTTGTCATGTTGACCTTAAGGTCAGAGTTGACATGCACTTTTACAAAGTCTAAGTTGTGAACCAGCTGAAACAAAACAATTTGAATAACATCAACTGCATCGCGTGGAGGTCATCATGTCATCCTGAAAAGTCATCATGTCATCCTAAAAGTCATCATTTCACCCTGAAAGGTCGTCATGATTACCCCAAGGTCTGTATTCATTTCTCTGCACACAGCATTAATATCAAATCTCAAATGATACAAAGACTTATTGACTTATTGAAAACAAGAGAAAATAGTCCTCGTCTTGGTATCTGCGAGTTTCATTCTTTTTTGGAAAATGTATTGCTCTGTACAAGTGGGTTCTCCCTTGCACAAGTAGGCCCTTATTTGTAACCTTAATAATGTATCTGTTCTTTATCTTGTACCGTCATCAAATAATGTACCCAAAACCTACCACAGCTTTAGGACTCTCAGTGTTTGTCAGTCTCTCCATGAGCTGGTCTGTGTAGGTGTTACCATGGAGCTGACTGTCCCGCGCCTTCTGCAGCTGCTGTTTCCGGAACTTGAACCGCTCCTTCCACTCATTCAGCTCATCCTCCGAGTGGGCCTGGGTACACTTATCTCCAAATGGACACCGCCCAATCTCAGAAAATCTACATGGAAAGATCTAGTTCAATATCAGTGTTTTAAGATCTTTAACAGATCTTTAAGAAAACTGTTGTGATAAATTTCACCTGCTGCCTAATGCACATTATCTGTAGAAAATCTACACAGAAAGAAAATCTTCAATATCACAGCCACAACAAGAAGAAATCATGTGAATGAAACTGAAGCTAACAGAGGGTTTTATTTTTCAAATGGCCCCGGTCCCAAAAGTGACCTGATCACTCCGATTGTACTTCTGTACACCTAATAAATATATGATGGTGCTTTAAAAAATATTTCAGTGACATCACAGCAGAGACTTGTACGAAAGGTTTATGTTCACTATTCCCATGTTAGGCATCAAGATGCCATGACAAGCTAACATCCTCTAACATTTGGCTACCCCAACATGCCTAGACAGTATGGGCACATCAATAACATTCAGGAAGGAGGTAAACAATTTATTTCTAAAAACATTCACTTTGGGTATGGCACAGGTGAGTGAGCGAGTTGGTTTTTTAACATAGCTTTTAGCAACATTTCAATAATATCATGGTGAGTGACACCAGAAATGGGCTTCACACATTGTAATGATGTGGTGATTCGAACACAAGTCTTCGACGACATGAGTGAACGCTTTAATCACTACCTCACCGCCCTGGGTATGACACAGGCAAGAACGAGACAATCAGTTCACAGAAGGATCCATTTGATTTGAACACTTTACCAAAACTGATAACACCCATTTTGTTTCTACTTTACCTGAGACAGAGGACATATTCTTCACTGCTGAGGCCACGGGGCGGAGCTCGGAACTTCCACCCATGACCTTCGTCAGAGGTCAGTCGTTTCTTATGTAGGTCACTGCGGCAATGTGTGTCCAACTCATCTTGCCGTGTGAACTTGATGTCGCAGAAGGTACACACAAACTCTGAGACTGCAGAGAGAATGAGAAAAGAGACGTAACAAAGTCGTCAGGTACAAGAAGCATGCTCCAGCTTGTGCTCATCAACGACCTCTAGTCTATTGTGTCAGTAGTTACCCATACATCTGAATGGCTTCTTCTTGTTTTTTAGACCATACACAACTCATCATTATTCTAGCTATATGACACTGTCCTGTAAATGATCAAGTCTTGCTGAGACAAACCCGGGATCTTTATCATCAATAATGATCCATGCCATGAGAGTATGATGAAATATTATCAACCACGTCTGCCTGCTTGACCAAGTGATCTTGAACCAAGAGAATATGTACCTGGGAACTACTTCCCAGACTATAGTTTAACTATAAATTGCTGAACTTAACTGTGTTACACTGACTGACTGACTGACTGACTGACTGACTGACTGACTGACTGACTGACTGAGTTTGGTTTTACGCCGCTTTTAGCAATATTCCAGCAACATCACGGCGGGGGACACCGGAAATAGGCTTCACATCATTGTACCCATGTGGGGATTCGAACCCGGGTCTTCGGCATGACGAGCCAACGCTTTAACCATTAGGCTACCCCACCGCCCCAACTGTGTTACAAGTGTGACCAAACTATATTTAATGGTATTCAAGGAGATGTATGTGGTGAATGAAACTGAATATAGATGGTGACATACACTGTAAGGTAAACATTCACTGTAAGGTAAATATTCTTTCAGATAGAAGATGAATTACATCTGTAAATTTATACAATAAATGAAAATCCTTGGTTAAGATTGATGACAAATATGCCAATGCTTAATTATTTACAGCTCTTTAAGCTTTCAACATTTTCAGAACTCAATGTTTTGTTTAACTCATTCTTCTACATACCAGATTGAACCTCTGACTTTGGAGGTTTCGTTGGCATGGGAGGGAGGGTAAGCACTATGTTGGTGGCCGGCCTGGTTTGGGGGGACACCGCCTCAGTCCCCTCCTCCCTCCCATCGGGGGAACTCCTGACATCAGGTTGGGCTGGTCCTCTCACACCTGGAGATTCGGCATCATCATCAGAGTCCTGCAGAATGGTGAATGACGAATGGTGAATGATGAACTGTGAATGGCCAATGAACAGAGGAGATTTCAGCACAAAACGTAGACAACACTTGACACATCAACTCTGACTGAACACAAAGCATGATTTGGTCAGACTAACTAAAATGAGATTTATGATGCTATTCAGAAGAAATGCTTTCTGTGGCCATAAACCTCACATCATCCTATTGTCTTTATGGCGCGCTCTGTTGTAATAGGATAACTTCAAAGCTGGGACTTTGAAATCACTGAATCAATATTCAATGGAGATTCCCTTGGCAATCCAGAAGGTTACACGTGTATCGTGTGTTTGACACGAGTTCATTGACCCTTGTGAGAGAAACGTTTTGCTGTTGAACATTTGCAGTGACAATTATGCTGAAAGTGGGTTAATATTGTGGCTGTGGACAGTCTACAGCAAGATTTGAAAGATGGACATCTGTCCAAGACAGATCCTTGTTTGATTGCGTGAACAGTATAAGTACCTATAATTGCAGTGAGTTCCTCTTGCAAGGTAGTGATCATGGTATTGGAATGTGATATTGATCTCTGTGTCAGTTAAAAGCTCAACATGGTGCTCATATCTATTTCCAGCTTGATAACTCAACTTGTTTGAGTGGCATTTTAGAAGTTGAGACGTACAATATATCAAGACTTAAATTATCCAGCCCCATACAAATTTGAAGAGCATTGTCCATTATTTTACAGCATTTACATAAATTGTCATTAGCTAAAACAAAAAACAAATACACTGTGTGGCATCATGATCTGACATGTACATTTCTTCATCTATACTTGAAAGACGCATGCTTTATTCAACCTGTACATTAAGCCATGATTGACTACAGCAAACTATGGCTGTAACAAACTTAAAGGGACAGCTAATTTAGCTGATTACAACCATAATCATTATATGCATTTTGACTGAAATATACAGCAAGTGGGTGGGACAAAAAAAAAGCAGTTTAATAAATCTGTCAGTTAGCTTGAAGCCTGTTCGTTATAAACATATTTAACTGTAATGTGCTGCCTCAGCTACAAAATGAAGCTGCCAGGATCTTCAAAAGGACAAGTGAAGAGTAGAAACTTGACTAAAGAGACGAGATCATGTTATGATGACAAGCTGGTCTGTCTTCTATCATCCATTTTGACCACCCAATAATCTGATCACATCAAACCTGGGTGGGTTGTGGCACCTTACCCACACTGATGGATTGATGAATCTTGTATAAGTGGGATCTACTATAGGCAATATAAAAACAATAATAGTCATGCTTATAATATGGCTGGTGACATATGAAAAAATCATCTTTTGTTTTCCTTTTTATCAGAATATTTAAGTCTTAACTTTCACTATTGATAGTGATAACTGATTATTAATAGGTTGTAACCATGACAATAGCTGAAGCAAGGAGAGTATCTAAAGTACTGTCGGAAATGCTAGAAAAATGCTTTTTAGCCTTAATATCTTTATAAAGGTGATAAATGTACTATGTTGTCAATATATCAACTCGCCTATTGTCTACCTAATTTTTATTTCAATCAATTTAACATTCCCATGCATTTAAAGGGCAGTTTACAGAAGAGAATTTGGTACCAAAACAGCAACTTAAGATTTTTTCAGAGTTCAACAACAGAAATCTGAAATAGTCTTTACATTTATGCTAATAATACAGGTGGTGTAAAAATATGAATTAACGTTTATCCTAAACAAATAAATGTTGAATGTTTGTGTTACTTTACTAAAGTATCGTTTTCTTTATTGAAGAAATATTAATATAAATGTTAAGTCTTGATAAATAAGTTTCCCGTCATGCATGCACATCTTTATCACAGCGTCCACTATGGCCAACGATTTGCAGTCGATTGTTGCAAAGGTTTATAGGTTTTTCTGCTTAAAAAGACAGAGGTAAACCTTTCATTAGTTTAGAAAGGGTTTATTACAACAGAACTTGTAGAGCTGTTGGCATGTCTTACCAACAAGTTTACAATATTGTAAACAAATCAGACAAGACAGGGACCGTCTCAAATGCAAAACGGGATGTAAAACCATCCTTGACAACTTTGACAAGGGAGTGCTTAGGACGGGCGGGTCTACAAACTTTATGAGAAGAAAAATATATATATTCTAAAGAAGCTACACCAGTGACTTCGTTTAAACTTTGGCCAATGTTCACAACTAGATTAAACTGACCGAATTACATCCATATTTTTTCAATGAAATATACTGTTGACATGCAAAACATTTATTAAAACGTTGCACATTTCTACAAGCAGTCAATAAGATAACACAAGTGATAGGATTCTTTCCAATGTACAGTAATTCGTATGTTTATTTCAAAACAAACACACATACACAAATGATCCCTTCCATAACTGATACGTATACTATATGTACACATATTCAACATTTTGCAGAAAACATCTATTGAGATGACCCTCGCCTTGGCGTGTGCTCAGGTGTCAATTTCACCTGTCGATACCGTGCATGCTGATGACGTAACACAGGCAGTTAATGTTTGTTTCAAATAACGTCCAACTACCCCTTATTTTTCTAAGTTTTTTGTATTTTCATCAGTAAAAACACATTTTAGAGCATGTCTCAAAATTTATTCCCTCGGTCTACATTACATAGATGTTTCTTGCAGTGATATTTGTTATTTAAGTAACTGTAATACCTCTGAATTTTAAATATAAGTCAAAAAAGCATTTTTCTAGCATTTCCGACAGTACTATAGTTTGCTTACAGGGGACATTTCATTCTAATTTTTATGCAAAATTTGTTACATATTTCACAAAATTGTAATAGCAGAATTAGAAAAATATTGCAATGACTTCATGAATTAGTAATGAGTTAAGACTCTGTATTCTGTTGCAGAATTCCACATTGATTGACAAACAAAATAATACTTCCTTCTTGAATATGACAAATCAACAACAGTGTACGTAGGGCCTGTCAACCAACAACTGCAAAACACTGCAAAGAATGTGCCAGGGATCAGTGGAAAAGGTGATTAATTTTCACTTAATCTCTCCGGTGAGGACATCAGTCTCCAGACAACATATTTAATACAGACACCTTACATTCTACTCCAATCAGCAAAGGACCTTGACAAAACAATGTTGGTGGGGAACCACATTCAAATCATTAAACTTTAATATGGCTTCTGTTTCCAATGAAAGGCACTGATATGTTAAAATGTCAAATGCAAATTAATCCATATTATTTCTGAAATGAAATAAAATATTTAAGCTCAGTACCACAAAAATAATGCACTGAAAACAAATCAATACTCTCAATGAATTATGAAACATAAAATTGTCGAGAGGATAATATTATTTGTGTCATTCGAAGGAAAATGGCAGTATGTGCTAAAAAGTTTAGAGTCTATCTGCTAAATATTGTATTATTGTATATTTTCAGTAGATTGAGTGGAATAAACAAGCCTTGAACCAGATATGACAACTGGACATTCTCATCCAACTACTTTTCAGACTGCAGCCCCAGTACAGATTCAATGAGAGTTTTGTTTGTTGTTAAATGCCATGCTCAGTAATATTCCAGCTGTATTGCAGTTGGTACATTACTGAGTCTGGACTGGACAATCCAGTGATCAACAGCATGAACATGATCTACACACTTGGGGTGTGATGACATGTGTCAACCAAATCAGTGAGCCTGACTATCTGAACCCATTAGTCGCCTCTTACGACAAGCTGGGGTATTTTAAAAACTGATTTATTTTTTTTGATTTGATTTATTAATTTTTTTTTTATTTGCTGAAGATGAATTCTTCATGGGTCAGATTCAATTAGAATAGGTGAGTTGGTAAAATGGATTTTAACTGCTTTAGGCAATATTCCAGTCATATCACAGTGGGCTTGACAGTTTGTTCCCATGCAGATAATCTAACCTAATCCTTTAGCATGACAAGTGAATGCCTTAATGTGTATGGCATCACAAGGACATTAAACTTGGAACACAAAGATCTCCAACAACATAACACATCTGAACAGAACAACACAATTTCTCATTTTAATAGAGCATGCAAGAAGGAACTAGTAAAGATGAACATGTGTACCCTCTGGGGTTAAGAGTGAGTGAGTGGGTTAGGGTGAGTGAGTGAGTGAGCGAGTTTAGTTTTACACCGCTTTTAGCAATATTCCAGCAATATCACGGTGGGGGACACCAGAAACCCTACAGACACTAGAAATGGTCTTCACACATTGTACCCATGTGGGGAATCGAACCCAGGTCTTAGGCGTGATGAGCGAACACTTTAACTTAAACTACTAGGCTACCCCAACTTCAGTTTTTGAGTTCAGTTTATGTCTGATTGTGAATGCCAAAACATGCAAGTTAGTTAAATTATACCATTGACACTCAAATAAAATACAAGATGTTTTGAACCTTGGCAGTCACAGTTGATGCCATAAAATCATAAATACTGCAACAAAGCTAAAAGATCAAACCTAAAATATTATCATAAGCAGAACCAATGTTTGAAGCTGACAATTAACTAAATTTCATTACAAAAATGTAATGGCCATAAGTACTTTTTCAATATATGGCTACCACAGATTCGAACTTCTTGAACAAGATATGAGTCACTGGTCATCAGTTTCATGGGACTGAAGATGGATGTTGGACACAAGGCCAAGCGACAATAGTTCCCTTGATTCTCATCCGAGCGAACTAGCAATAATCATAAATATAACTGTGAGATAAGTTTCGTAATACTCTTCCTTTTGGATCTGAAATCAAACTGCTTCTATTCTCCATTGAAACCGGCAACAATTGTCAGTTAATATTGTCCTTGATATCTTGCTCCACCCCAGACACCTCCAGAACTACAACTGACAAGAACTATTTTACTAGTATTTATTGACACTGCATTTTCCTATTGAAATGTTCTGCAGTATTTTGTCAAATCTTGCAAACCAAACTACATGGCTTCACCAGGATCAGTCACTCGATGCAACACAGGTAATAACTCTACATAATATCAATCTCCTTTCCTGGCAAAGCTGATCAATACATTGGTAGACAAGAGACAGGCATTGTCAAGTTGGCATGATATGAATTATTAACACTCAACAGTGTGTGATGCCGTAACACCCCCCCGACTTAACTGATCACACGGAGCATTCAATACAATCTGTAGTCAGTATGAACATACAAATAACTAAACACCCCCTGACTTACCTGATCACGCGAAACATTCAATAAAATCTGTAGTCAGTATGAACATACAAATGAACAAACATAAAGGTAATATAAAATGTGTCTAAAAAGGTGAATAAATATGGATGGTTGAGTTGGTTGGTTGGTTGTTGTTAGCACCACACTCAGTAATATACCAGCTGTATTATCAAGTCTGGACCAGATAATCCAGTGATCAACAGCATGAGCATCAATCAACGCAATATTGGGTACGATGACATGCGTTTACATAAGTTTGAAAAGTTGTCAAATTGTTGTGGTGACCTAGAAGATAAGGTCAAGGTCACCCAAATCAAATGGTGTCTGCGTAATCCCATTATGTAGGCTGTCACCAAATTTGAAGACATTGGGTACAACAGTTCATGAGATATCGCTTTAACAAGAGGTTGAAAAGTGGTCAAAGTGTTGTGTTGACCTTGAAATGAAGGTCAAGGTCACCAAAATCAACTGGTGTCTGTTCATTAATAGGGATATATCTGTATGTGAGTAATAACTTTATCACACACCATAATGTGCAATACAGGTGGATGTTCATTAAACAGTGGTATATTTGAACGTGAGTAATAACTTTATCACACACCATAATGTGCAATACAGGTGGATGTTCATTAAACAGTGGTATATCTGAATGTGAGTAATAACTTTATCACACACCATAATGTGCAATACAGGTGGATGTTCATTAATAGGGTTTCTGGTTTCCCCCAACGTGATATTGCTGGAATATTGCTCAAAGCGGCGTCAAACTAAACTCAGTCAGTCAGTCAGTCATTAATAGGGATATATCTGTATGTGAGTAATAACTTTATCACACACCATAATGTGCAATACAGGTGGATGTTCATTAAACAGTGGTATATTTGTAAGTGAGTAATAACTTTATCACACACCATAATGTGCAATACGATTACAGCCTAATCCGTCGAATTTTGAACAGTCAGCAGTGCCGATCCGTTGAATCATGCTTGAGTGGTTCTGTACTAATCGGTCGAATTTCAGACCTTGTTAACACACTGGGAGAGTCTAAGTTTATTTATTAAGGGGTCGGAAGTACCGTCATCCTCTAGTAGGAATCTGTGCTTTCAGATCCTTCAGATGGTTGATAATCTTCATCAGATCCACCATCACTTCATCAGAGTGATCACCACCAAGCTCCCGTTGCATACGTTCAAATAAGTTTTGTTACTCCATTTAGAATGTGCTCTAGGCACACAAGTCACAGCAGACCCGCAAAAAAAGGTTAAGTGAATCTGATTGCCTTGAGCAATTCTAAATACAGGTCAAAGATTTGTCAGTGGGGTCTGCATTGACCCCATCAGTCCCCAGTAGGGTATGTCAATAACACATCAACTACTTTATAATGGAAATTCTTTCTAAATCTTAAACCTGATTTTTAAAAAGATAAATGGTCAATTGAAGATTTCCCGACGTCCCATTAAGATAGTTTACCACTGAGCGATTCTATCACAATATTTATAGTCTTGGGGTCTGTTTGGACCCCGCTCCATAAGGCAAGGGTTAATGCAGCAATTTCAATTTTGTACAAAAGTACAAAAATAAAGAGAGTCCAAACATATATTTAATGCATCAATTTTTCATTGTATCATATGAGTAGGCAGAGATAAGTACAAAAGTACAAATATAAAGAGAGTCAAACCATCCAACACCCCTTGTGTCTTTTCTTGGTTTGATCCAATGTTTTGATAACTAATTAATAGCTAAGATCACTGTACAGTGTTCATCCGTCGAATGCATTTTACTACTTTGAAATCAGAAATTCAACGGATCAGTACGTGACCGTGCAATACAGGTGGATGTTCATTAAACAGTGGAATATCTGTATGTGAGTAATAACTTTATCACACACCATAATGTGCAATACAGGTGGATGTTCATTAATAGAGATATATCTGTATGTGAGTAATAACTTTATCACACAATACACAATATATAATATAGGTGGACGTGTAATAAATAGTGGCATATCAGTATGTAATTTATCACACATCACAATGTGAGGTTGTAGAATCTTCTGACATACCTGATCACGTAGCGCATTCAACACAATCTTGAGTCGGTTTACTTCTTTCTGAGCCACGGGATGCTGAAAATGTATCAATGTATCAATTGAGAAATCAACATTGGAATATTTATTCCATATCTGTCTGCCATACCTCGATATTCCTGCATTCATTCATTACATACAGGGACAACAGGGAAGACAAGGACAACAGGATGACAATACAAGCACAATAAACATGAATACATGACAGATGTGTCTCATGGAAGACATAACAGATGTGTGTCTCATGGAAGATATAACAGATGTGTGTCTCATGGAAGATATAACAGATGTGTGTCTCATGGAAGACATAACAGATGTGTGTCTCATGGAAGATATAACAGATGTGTCTCATGGAAGATATAACAGATGTGTCTCATGGAAGATATAACAGATGTGTCTCATGGAAGACATAATAGACGTGTGAAGTGTGTCTCATGGAAGACATAACAGATGTGTGTCTCATGGAAGACATAATAGATGTGTGATGTGTGTCTCATGGAAGACATAACAGATGTGTGATGTGTGCATCATGGAAGATATAACAGATGTGTCTCATGGAAGACATAATAGATGTGTGAGGTGTGCATCATGGAAGATATAACAGATGTGTGTCTCATGGAAGACATAACAGATGTGTGATGTGTGTCTAATGGAAGACATAATAGATGTGTGATATGTGTCTCATGGAAGATATAACAGATGTGTGTCTCATGGAAGACATAATAGATGTGTGATATGTGTCTCATGGAAGATATAACAGATGTGTGTCTCATGGAAGACATAACAGATGTGTGATATGTGTCTCATGGAAGACATAACAGATGTGTGATATGTTTGATGTAACCCTATGGCATGGGCATGATACTGATAAACCTAGAAGCATAACTAAGGTGAACCTGGTGTCAAACCCACTACGTCATTACAGGCACTATACCTTCAGTGCCATATTCCAGCAAGTCTTTGATCAACCATGTGTACACATTCCCTAGGCACTTTAAACACCATACCAAGTATAAACTTTTAAGGCCATATTCCAGCAAGTCTTTGTCCAACACATTCTCTTGGCTCTTAACAACACCATACCAGGAATTGTACTTTTGGCACCATATTCCAGCTGTCTTGGACCAGCCATGTTGATGGCACTAGTCTCTCTATGCCAATGGAAACTCTGGTTTGCAGAACCAACACAGGAATACATGGAAATTTATCAGTGCCATAGTCTTGAGGAGGTGGAGGTCAAAGAGTATAATGAACCAATAGCACTGAAGTTCATAGGTGGCTGCGTTCAGTGGATGTTTACTTATGCAATCAGCATTCTACAGGCAGTGCTCTGCTGGACTAACGTTTTCTGGCTTGTGTGAATAAGGACTGACTGTTTTTAGTGGAAGTTGCTAACCCAATTAGTGTGTGCAGATAAAGACCCCTGTGTATAACTTGTTGCAGATACAGCGTGAAATACCAACTGGTGGTAAGCCAGGCATATCTGTCAGGAGTGCACTGACTGGTGCACTGATGACCTACCTTTACATTGCTGCCACAAGGTCATCTGCATGTTGGGAGTCAATGGTCGGTAAGTGTGCTCCTAAACAAAATTTCCCAAATTGAAATGGATGATAAATGCGTGCCACCCATTCAATTACCACTGCTTGCCCTGATTGCTTGTTTGTGGTAGAAGTACTAGCTTCACAACAAAGAACTCTGATTGCTTGTTTGTGGTAGAAGTACTAGCATCACAACAAGGAACTCTGATTGCTTGTTTGTGGTAGAAGTACTAGCTTCACAACAAGGAACTCTGATTGCTTGTTTGTGGTAGGAGTACTAGCTTCACAACAAGGAACTCTGATTGCTTGTTTTGTGGTAGAAGTACTAGCTTCACAACAAGGAACTCTGATTGCTTGTTTGTGGTAGAAGTACTAGCTTCACAACAAGGAACTCTGATTGCTTGTTTGTGGTAGAAGTACTAGCTTCACAACAAGGAACTCTGATTGCTTGTTTGTGGTAGAAGTACTAGCTTCACAACAAGGAACTCTGATTGCTTGTTTGTGGTAGAAGTACTAGCATAACAACAAGGAACTCTGATTGCTTGTTTTTGTGGTAGAAGTACTAGCTTCACAACAAGGAACTCTGATTGCTTGTTTGTGGTAGAAGTACTAGCTTCACAACAAGGAACTCTGATTGCTTGTTTGTGGTAGAAGTACTAGCTTCACAACAAGGAACTCTGATTGCTTGTTTGTGGTAGAAGTACTAGCTTCACAACAAGGCTTCACAACAACAAGGAACTCTGATTGCTTGTTTGTGGTAGAAGTACTAGCATAACAACAAGGAACTCTGATTGCTTGTTTGTGGTAGAAGTACTAGCTTCACAACAAGGAACTCTGATTGCTTGTTTGTGGTAGAAGTACTAGCTTCACAACAAGGAACTCTGATTGCTTGTTTGTGGTAGAAGTACTAGCTTCACAACAAGGAACTCTGATTGCATGTTTCTGGTAGAAGTACTAGCTTCACAACAAGGAACTCTGATTGCTTGTTTGTGGTAGAAGTACTAGCATACTAGCTTCTCACAACAAGGAACTCTGATTGCTTGTTTGTGGTAGAAGTACTAGCATCACAACAAGGAACTCTGATTGCTTGTTTGTGGTAGAAGTACTAGCTTCACAACAAGGAACTCTGATTGCTTGTTTGTGGTAGGAGTACTAGCTTCACAACAAGGAACTCTGATTGCTTGTTTGTGGTAGAAGTACTAGCTTCACAACAAGGAACTCTGATTGCTTGTTTGTGGTAGAAGTACTAGCTTCACAACAAGGAACTCTGATTGCTTGTTTGTGGTAGAAGTACTAGCTTCACAACAAGGAACTCTGATTGCTTGTTTTGTGGTAGAAGTACTAGCTTCACAACAAGGAACTCTGATTGCTTGTTTGTGGTAGAAGTACTAGCTTCACAACAAGGAACTCTGATTGCTTGTTTGTGGTAGAAGTACTAGCTTCACAACAAGGAACTCTGGGAAGGAACAACTCTTGACTTAGACAAGCAGCAACACACTAATTTACACACACGGGTATGCATGTCAATAAAAATGAGTGAGTGAGTTTAGTTTTACACCGTTTTATGCCGCTTTTTTTATATTCTAGCAATATCACAGGGGGGAACACCAGAAATGGCTTCACACATTGTACCCATGTGGGGATTCGAACCCGGGTCTTGGGCATGACAAGCAGACGCTTTAACCACAAGGCTACCCCACCACCAGCTCTGGGAAGGAAAGTTAAGGAGGGTTATAAGAGAGAATACAATGTCACTGCATTAGGCAATGGTTTGGGTGAGTCAGGTCTCTGTGGACAGCCTCCCACACAATTTAGAGTGAGTGAGCTAGTTTTTAACAATATTCTTGCAATATCATGGGCACAAGACATAGGGGTACTTTAACTCCTTCCATCATACAAAGCATATATTGAACATGCAGTATATGGTAACCAAATTCCAATCACCAGTCCTTCCAGGTAGCCATTCACTGCTGGGTGAACAGATAGTGATCTAACGTGAAGTGGCTGCAGTGTAAGTACAGGTACACTGGTGAGTCTAGGTTGAGGAGAGTAACTGCCAACCCACCGGCACCTGTCAACCTGCCAACTTCTCCTGATCAACGACCTGGATGCACCTTGTAAAATCCAAAACGAAGAGACTGGGTTACTGTGATTGACAGATATAAGCAGGTTTTGGTGGTTTCAACCAAGGCCATCGATGAGATGCAAAAGGTGCCATATTGTTGTGTTTCATCAAGGTTGCTGTTAACATTGTAATACTTCGGCATGCAAGATCCTTGCCAATTGTGATATGCAACTTGTGTTATTATTGGTACCCTTGCACATACAGGAAATGTCTTTTTTAATCACAGTATGAAACAGTATTGCTACAGTTAAACAAAAACTGCTTTAAAACCAGAACAGTTCTTAGAAGTAGCTTCCTGTTGGATTGTTTCCATATTGTTTACTTTACCACAGCAGCCTATAAATAATCAAACTGGGACCATACAAACTAATGATAGATTCTACAAGCATCAACCGATCAACGTACAGCTACACACAATCAACCAAGTCACAGAGTCGGATCACCTGATCGTTTCTGTTGCCTCGTAAGACAATCAAAAGTTGCTAGGGCCCCACTGTAAAATGGAGTCCTCTTAGGGAGGAGACAAGGAGGTCAGGTGAAATTGGGTTTAACGTCGTGCTTGAGAATATTTCACTCATATGACGACGTGCATGCGTGTGTATGTGTATGTGCAACTGCTTGTACTAGCCCAGACTGAAGCTGGTTTTATAGTGCTAGCCCACAGAGATACCATGCCGCAGTGAAGCATGAATATCCCACTCAGACACATTATACTGACTCCGAGCCGACCAGTCCTTGTTGTACCCATTAATGCCGAGCGCCAGGCAGGGACCAACAAGTACCATATTTTAACGTCTTTTTGGTATGATGCGGTCGGGGATCGAACCAGCGACCTTCTACTCTCCCGGCGGACGCTCTAACCACTACACCACAAGGAAGACAAGGAACATCAGACTCTTCCTCATATTCCCACCCACTTGTACTATCCTCAGTGAAAGATATTATGTTTTGAAAACAGCAAAAATATGCAGATGAAACATATTCTTCATGTGTGCTTGAAACACTATCCCATATCCAGCACAGACGAATGGATACATGATCTTCAGGTATCCTTTGTTACAAAACAGAAACCCAATTGCTACACATCAACTGTCAATAACGCCTTTGTAAAGAGTATTTCCACTGTCTGAGAAATGATGGTTTAAGAAGCACACAGGGTGTATGAGGTAATTAATATTAAGGAGATTGCAGTAATGCGATCTGAGACTTTGGGTTCTGTATGAACTACCTGGCTGTGAAGTTCAGATCTTCTAGTTAACTAACAGCATGCTGTGATGTGTGGTTTGTGTGACTGGAGGATATACACTGTATCAACTACCTAGCTGTGGAGTTCAGATCTTTAGTTAACTAACAGCATGCTGTGATGTGTGGTTTGTGTGACTGGAGGATATACACTGTATCAACTACCTGGCTGTGGAGCACAGATCTTCTAGTAAACTAACAGCATGCTGCGATGTGTGGTTTGTGTGACTGGAGGATATACACTGTATCAACTACCTAGCTGTGGAGCACAGATCTTCTAGTTAACTAACAGCATGCTGTGATGTGTTGTTTGTGTGACTGGAGGATATACACTGTATCAACTACCTAGCTGTGGAGTTCAGATCTTCTAGTTAACTAACAGCATGCTGTGATGTGTTGTTTGTGTGACTGGAGGATATACACTGTATCAACTACCTGGCTGTGGAGCACAGATCTAGTAAACTAACAGCATACTGTTATGTGTGGTTTGTGTGACTGGAGGATATACACTGTATCAACTACCTAGCTGTGGAGTTCAGATCTTCTAGTTAACTAACAGCATGCTGTGATGTGTGGTTTGTGTGACTGGAGGATATACACTGTATCAACTACCTAGCTGTGGAGCACAGATCTTCTAGTTAACCAACAGCATGCTGTGATGTGTTGTTTGTGTGACTATATCATATACACTGTATCAACTACCATGTTGTGTTGTATGTTAACAGGGTAAACACTTTCCTGCAGATCTTTGAACTTCATGAGTAGGTGATATATAGAGAATCTCACCCAAGTGTCTTCTGATATCAATTATATCAACACGAGTTGATAAAATTACAAATATCCGAGGCTTGCCGAGGATATTTTTCCTTTTATCAACGAGTGTTGATATATTGATATCAGAAGAAATTTGTGATGTGAGATTCTATTTATCATCCAAAATCACTCTTCATTAACTTTCAATGAAAAATGTACATCTCTGAACATGGTACTGCCATTAGACTTGCAGTGCAGCGATGTCATAGCATTGTGACGTCATCAAGTACATGACGTCATAGCATTGTCAGGCATTGTACAAAATCTACTGTCAAAACGATATCTCCTAGGAGATATCGTTTGATCTCACACAAGCGATATCTCCTGTGGAACACAGTTTTGGATGATAAATTGATATATTGTGTATAGCCTGTTCATACAAGACACATTTAAATGTGATATATGCTGTATAATGTGTCAAGCGGGATCTTGCAAGTTTACCTTTAACTGTGCTACACTCTGGTAAATGTGTCATGTGCGAACAGGCTACACACAATATATCACCTTCTTGTAGAACTGTGACACATGCTGTTATGTGTGTTGTGTGTTTGATGAGGGTATATTACATCCCCCTGGATCTCAGACCTTCCAGTTACTGATGTGACAAACACTGCGAAGTGCATGGTAATGTGTGTGAACTTTGTCATGTGTGTTACAAACCAGGGAATATAGAGGATATCACTTACCTGTGGATCTCGGACCTTCCAGTCGCAGGCGAGGTCATATGCTTCCTGGAACTGGCCGAGATGACACAGCACCTTGATCTTCTTCTCCAGTAGCTTGTCATTGTTTACATTGTTATGCAAACCTGCAAGAAACAATAATTGTGAAAATCACAGGATTGATCACTTTGATGTAATGCAGGTCTTAGACGTTTGTCAACATGGCAGGGTTCGATCTTTATGCTCGCCCGCAAGCCCGAGGCAAGTAAAAATTTAGTCGGGCGATTGGAAACAAACTTACACTAGTCCGGCAGACTACTAGTTTTTTCCAGTGATTATTGATCAAATACTGCAACTTAGATCATCCATTTTCAACTCTCCCCACCAGACTAGTGAATTCAGTGTTGCAGAACTCTAAGATAACATCTACATAGTGTCAATTTACTCAAAACATCTTAGTGGTCAAAAAAGCAAAGTAACGATGTTTCGAGGAAATCATTAAACAAATTGAATAAACTAAAGAATAAATCAACAACAGTATTCATAAAAATGTCAAACGTATGTTATAAGTTACTATTTCCATCTTTTTTGTGCAATTGTGCAGTGTAAGTCAAGTGACATCTCGGCTCTCGAACTTCACGCTCGGACACAATGTTTAATGCTAAAATATATGCATGAAACATTTTTGTCACAGGTCATAACCTAGCACGATATGTCCACTAAGTTCCATAATATAGGTATAAGTGGTGATTTTTGCATAAAAGGTTCAGAATAATATGTTTAACCAAAAACTTTCATCTAAATCTCAAAGTTTTTGTTTACGACGACGATATACATTGCTGTAATATGATTGGCTGCCTTAGGTCATGTGCATGACCAATCACCATATTTATATGTTCAGAGCTTTCGAACGATACTCGTCATCAAACAAAACGCCGTGCATGGTATCCATAGGAAGCTACGAAAACGGAGGTATTTCCCGCTATTGTGTCACGTTACTTAGCAGGAGGCAATTGATATCGGGAAATAGATGACCTTACGTGTTATTTGAGAAATCTTTTAACAATAATGTTCCGATTACGTAAAAATGAAAATATAAAAGAAAACGATAGGCGAATGTATTGTCATGTTACAAACATTTGTTTCTTCCATCGTGGTTTATCTGGACATCATAAATGTGTAAGCTTGAGTTTTCATTTAAAATTTACTTTTATAAAGTTTTATTATTTGAATAATATGACAAAAAATAACTTCATATATATTAACAGTAGGATGAGACCTTTCAAATGGTGTATGACATGTAGTAGCAATGATGTTTTACAAGCTGATATTTTCCTTGATAAACACAAGCTTCATCGATGACCTCAGAGTCTCTGGGAACTCGGTGTCATGGCAGTAAAAAAAAACTCTTGTTGACTGGCGTTGAAAGAGTTAAGAGTAAATTAGATCATTTATTAAATACAACAATAAAGCAATGGACTTCTTGTTTTGTTTGTGGGCTCGTGATAGTTGAAGGTTACTTTTAGGTTTAGTTCTAACCCTGCATGGTCAAACCCACAAGTGTAAGTATGGTGTTGATAAACAACATATCACACCAATTGTAATGGATGGATGGATGGATGGATGGACGTACGTACGTATGTATATGTGTGTGTGCGTACGTGCGTGCGTGCGTGCGTGTGCATGCATGTAAGAATTTTGATGGCAATACATTACAATTTAAATCCATCTATGGTTAAATACTTTGAAAAGTTAAATACAACTAACTATCCTTTTATGTTGAAAGGAGCCTCCTTCATGTCACCACAAATAAGTGTGAATCTGGCATGGTGGTTGATAAGAAGACCAACACAACAGGTGCCTGACTCTGAGGGTGTGGTTTCAAATCCCCCGAATGGGACTCAATCCAACAAAAGTACTGGAATCTGTACTTTACTGTGTTCACACTTAAAAAATAAATGCAAACAATGAGAAACAAACTTTGACTTTATACATGACAAGTCAACACCTCAACCACTGAGCTACTTCACCAACTAATTCAGATTGGCATGAACAAGGTATATTTTAACTGTGAATACATCCATTACTTAAGGGTGTGACTACTGGCTGAACTTTGAATGCATTGCAAGTGTGCATAGATTGAATGTAATATCTTAATGACAAGGTAAAGTTTCAACACTAAAAAATTGATATGGTATCATATCCACAGTGAGTAAGTAAGTTGTTTTTGAGCTTTTAGAAATATTCTATCAGTATCATGGCAGGGGACACCAGAAATGGGCTTCACACATAGTGCCAATATGGTGAGTGAGTGAGTTTAGTTTTATGCCACACTCAGCCATATTCCAGCTATATGGCAGATGTCTGTAAATAATCAAGGCTGGACCAGACAATCCAGTGATCAACAGCATGAGCTTCGATCTACGCAATTGGGAATTGATGACATGTGTCAATTAGTGCCAATATTGGGAATCAAACCCAGGACAACAGCATGACGAGTGAAAGCTTTAACCACTCACCCGCATCACCCCAGTATGGATGTCATCACATATCATATATTGGCCACTGATAAGGAAGTTGATCAATGTGTTTAAATTTAACATTGTATAATCATAAGGAAAGAATTCAATTTTAACCTTTGAATTGATCAGCCAAGTTCAGAGTGATTAACTCCATTTCTATATTGGTAATTTTTTGTCTATACATCAAAATAAATTTTATTATTGGTTAATATATCGATATATCACGGTCAATGGTATTAATACCCAAAGTACATTTTGATTAAAGGGATACCTTGTTTGAACTGATACACTGGATATATATCTTAAAAATTCAATAATATTTCTGTAGGCAATCGTTAGCATGGTCAGTATTGTTGGGCACTAAAAGTAAGTATAAAACTACATATATAACAATAGTTGCAACTTAATTCAAAGGTATCTCAAATGTGATCTGAAAATTTGCTATACTATTAGAAGAATAAAAATGTCCTCTCTTTTTCAAGACTAGATCAGAAGACGAGTCGAAATGTTATTTCGCTGTACATAACGACAATGTTTTACACTTACAGCTTCAGTTCTTATCTTCATTCTTGTAAAGTACAAAATATTTCAAAGTTAAATCCATTTTTATTCCTTTGTTCTGAAAAATTTGATATATTGTAAGTTGACTATGCTTCAGAAAAAAGAGAAATTTAAGAACCAAAACAAAACATTGCTATTATTATGCATTAGGGTTTTAGATATCAAACAAACACCTTTTCAAGTCTTAAAACATCCAAAGAAACACAAAAGGAGAGTCCTTCATTGGATCGTTTTCCTCATCAGGCATTTCCTGAAAAGATGTGGACAATTACCATTCACGGAAAACATCCACTAAAGAAAACACTGATGCCCACAGGATATGTACCATAATTGAACAGAAATACTGTACAAAAGTTTCATTATTCAAGCTCTTATCCTGATGTGAAAAACGTTCAAGGACATACTGAAACAAACTAATAAATAGATTAATACATTGTAATTTCCGAAACACAGTTTCTAAAATCTGCAGTACAGAAACAGATAAGCATCAATGCAACTCAAAGACAATATTGAAATCTCCGTCAGCCTCATCTCAGACTGGGATAGCTGTGTACTATCACTTCACACTGATGCCAAGCTTACCTACTGGGTAGGACACGACCACAAATCCGGGTCGCAGGTTGGGACGATATAATGGCCAGAACTGGTTCATCATCATGTGCATCAACCACCCCTTAACCCCCTGAAATATGTCACCATTTTCCTCACCCGCCACGGCAATGCCCTTCCCTCATAGCGCCAAGGATGAAGGGACTTTGTAAATACCAGTGTCACCAGCCAAAAATCAATCATATCAATAATTACTAGGAACGATTAACAGGTAGAGTTATGAATTATGTACAATGCCACAGCCAATGAGGTCTTTCTACGTACCTGACAACTTGAAATATATATAACACTCAATAACTGAACGTTATGAAGAATAATAATGTTTATCATCAGAATAATCAATGGCAAGATTCTTTCCCAAAATGTAATTCTTTCTATGGTTACAATCCAAGTTTTTTAAATTTAGTAAAGCGACAAATCCATAATCATGAAATATGAATATATCCTTCTTTCATCGAAAGAAACACTCAGAGAATTTAGTATTAACAAATGTATCCCAGATTCCTGTACAAAGATGTCAATGTAAAGCACATTTATAACAAAAATAGTTCCAACAATATCCAAGTGTTGATAGCTTTTAAAAATAATAACGACATATTAAATAGCAACAGCCAAATATTTTGATCCTTCATCAGAAACTTTCATTGTGAAACCCAAAGTCCTTGTGGTGTAGGTAAATATATTTAATTATTGCTATCAGCCAATATGAATATGATGTAAATGTGTAAATTCCAACTATTATCTGTAATAGTTATAGTTAGAGAGTACTAGTACACAGACTCATACCCCAAAACATGGATGCACACACTGACAAGCTGCCAATGTTCAGATCTTGACATGTTGAGGTGTGATGTAAAGACTGGACATCAACGACAGCAGAGGGATGGCAGTATGTTGTACATACACACATCAATAGAGATGCTAGCCCTGGAATCTACTGAATGGGTGTTGCTATGGACAACTACTTTTTTTTAAAACACAACACTTCAGACATTGATTTGAAGAGGCAGTTGTATGGTGTTTATGCAGTGACATGGAGACCAATGTCTCATTGATGTACATATGACAGGACAGTCAGCATTATTCAGTCATGACAGCTAGTGAGGTGAGGTGAGGTGACTGACTGAGTTTGGTTTTACGCCGCTTTTAGCAATATTCCAGCAACATCACGGCAGGGGACACCAGAAATGGGCTTCACACATCGTACCCATGTGGGGATTCGAACCCGGGTCTTCGGCGTGACGAGCCAACGCTTTAACCACTAGGCTACCCCACCGCCCCTGAGGTGAGGTGAGGTGAGGTGAGGTGAGGTTAGGTGAAATTGGGTTTTACGTCGTGCTTGAGAATATTTCGCTCATATGACGACGTGCATGCGTGTGTATGTGTATGTGCGGTTGCTTGTACTACCCCAGACTGAAGCTGGTTTTAAAGTGCTAGCCCACTGAGATACCAAG